GCATGAGCTACATTGAAAAGACCTTGGTTGCAGGATTATACTGTAATTGGTGAAGAACAACAGATCTTGGGATTCATCTAACCCAGTGACTGCACACTGGTAGCTTGCAGACATGCATTGTTTGGCACACAAATATTGGAAGGAAGGAAGGAACGAGGGAAGAAGGAAGAAAAAAGAAAGTAAGGAGGAAAGGGAAGTAAGAGTTGGGAGATTTCAATTTTAAAAACCCAGACTTCTGGCTTCTTAAAAAAAAAATCAAAGTCTCTGGCAACACTAGGACACATCCCTACCTGGCAGAAGTTGGTTGGAGCTGAGAAGCAAGCACCCATTTATTTATTTTTATTTCATTTTTTTATTGAAGTACAGTTGATATACAATATTATATTGATTTCAAGTATAGAACATAGTGATTTGATAGTTATCTATATTATTAGATGCTCACCCCAACTAGTGGTTACTGTCAACATGGAAAGATATTACAGAACTGTTGACTATATTCTCTTTGCTATACTTTGATCTCTGTGACTAATTTATATTATGGTTGAGATTTGAATCCCTTTTAATCCCCTTCACCTATTTTACCCACCCACCCATGCCAAAACCCGCCCCCCCGTGGCAATCACCAATCACTTCTTAGCAGGCGCCCCTCTTGGGGCACATGTTCTCCAGTTTGCCGTGATACCTCCTTGCTTCACCTTTTTAGTACCTGCCTGTCTCTTGGAGGCATTTGGATTTGGGACTCGTCCTCTAATCCAGCCTGTTTTTTCACCGTTTGAGACTGCAGAGATCCAATCCTTGCTGCCTGGGTCAGTAGAGCTATAAGAGACAAAGGCGGAGCTAGAATTCTTGTCTCCTGGGACTCACCCTGTGTTCTTTCTACTACCAGATGCTGCCTCCTCTTGGGTAACATTAGGCATTTACAAAGGAAAACCGTCCTGTAGGATGTGTGTCAGGTAGATGTGGTCAAGTTGGCCTTCGTCAGAAGGAATGGCTCAACTTGCTGCCCAAGCCACTCTCTCTTAACATGTCTTATGTGAGGAATATGGCCTCATGGTTTTGTACATTTTGTATGAACAGGATCCTGCTATCATTTTTGAGCCTCAGACTGGGATTCTCAGACACACTTGGATGAAATGCAGCAAACATTGGAATACTGCCCAGAGGTACTCCTGAGAGCTAAAAGCTGCTCACCCAATTTATCAAGGAGTGTGTGGGTGTTCAGTACATGTAATTAGGGCGTTTACTCTCCCCTTCCTAACCTAGGGGTGTCAAATAATTTTTACTCATTTATTTATATGTAAATTCCTTATTTTGAAAATAATTTCAAACTTACAGAGAAGTGGAGAAGTTGAAAGACAACTACAAAGAACTTTAGTATGTTTATCCAGATTCACCAGTTGTTTACATTTTGCCATATTTGATTCATCAGTTTCTCTGTGTGCACATAAAGAATACATATGTAATTTGAACTCTCAAAAATAGGTTGAGCACATTCAGGAAATTTATCATGGATGCATGACCTTTTAAGTTATATTCAAATTTATCAATTTTCCCTATGTCTTTTATAGCAATTTTTCCTGATCTAGGCCAGGATCGAGTATTTCATTTAGTTGTCAGTCACTTTAGTCTCCTTTAGTCTGGAACAATTCTTCAGTCTTTGTCTTTCATGCTGTGGACATTTTTATATAGTCCAATTCTTTCTCCTGTACGTTTCTTTTTATGTTTGCATGTGTATGTTTATATCTATTAACAATATGGATGCATGGATTCTTCTTTTATTCAGTGGGTTTAATCTGTTACTATCCTTATTTTGATGCCCAGGTTATTATACCAGTTTTGGCCTTTTCAAGCTGGCTCCTCTGTGTCTCTTTGATGCTTTTATACTTTTTTTTAAGTACTTATTTTCTGGTACAACAAAAATGTTCCAAATTCCTCTGGTAGTTCACTTGCTCCTGCACTGGCTGGAATCAACCATTTCTTCAAGGAGCTATTTCTCCACAGGGCTTTCCGTGGAATATTTAGAAAGCAAGATCTGGGAATTAGATATGTATAAATCAGTCAGTCAATCAATCAAACAATCATCTATCTTTTCAATAAATTTTATGCTGATATTTCTCATTCCAGTCTAACCTCACAAAGTTTTTGCTCACTTCTCTTATGCCTTATTTGCTTCTCCCTTCCTCGATGAGAACCAAAGCTCCCAAAGTCTTCATGTTTATTCACATACTCATTCATACAATACACCCAAAATAGTTTCAGAATTGCCATTTACCACTGCAGCAAATTAAGAGTTCAAGATTTGCTTGCAGTTATTTTTCTGTAGATGGAGGGTGCTTGAAAGTTACCTGAATTAGTCCTATTTTCTTCCCTTCAGTGGTTTTTGTTTTTACTCATCTGAAAACGTTGGGTTCATTTATTTACACGTTTTCGGATTTTAGGTACCCTCCATTTCTGTTAATTTTTTTAATATGTTGACCATTAACATTATTTGAAAAGTCAAAGCTGTATGAAGAGGTAGTCATGAAGTGTCTCCCTCTTCCCTGAGTTCTGTTGTTTCCTTCAACAAGAAAAATGTAACCAACCCAATGACAAGGAACACTCATTTCCCCCTACCCCTCATAGGTAACCAATTTTATTAGTTTTTGGTTTATCCTTCTTGTGTTTTTCTTTCCAAAAATTTGCAGATACATTTGTTTTCTTATTTCCCCTTCTTTCTTGCACAAAAGGTAGCATAGTTTATACTCGAACTTTGCTTTCTTCACTTAACAATTGTCTTGCCAATGGGTTTCAGCCCCAGGCAAGTTCACTATGGATTCAGTGTGACCAAAGACACTGACAGCAAAACGTTCTTTGGGATGAAAGGGTTTATTACCCGGCTTGTTCTCCCGGCGGCGGTAGGTCAAGCAGTAGCACGTCTGTCCCCTCGCAGAGCACTGGGCCGAGCTCTCTGTATAGCACAATAGCTTATTGCCTAAAGGTGTGGAAGTGGTAGCCTAGCAACAGGCCAGTTACATCATCAGGTGGTTTAAGTTCAGTGAGGATCCTGGCCATAGGAACCCCAACTTCCCCATAACAATATATCCTGGAAATCACTCCGTATCAAAATCACAGTGATATAATTTCTAAATTGCATTTAATAAGACAACATTCCATTTGTTTACCAAAAAATTTATTGCGTGACTATATCAGCCACTCAGGTAGATATGAAGGATAGGGAAATGAGTAAAAGAAAGTCCCTGCCCTTTATGACCTCAGACTCCAGTGAAAAGGAGAGCCATATAAACAAAACCACAGTGCTATGGAAGCCTGAAGATGTCAATAACAAGATGTTGGAAAGGATCAACACCTGACTGAAGAATGAAAACATAGGTGAAGGAACAGCATGTGTAAAGGAAGAGTTGGCTAAGGGCAAGGCATGTTGTGGAACTGGTAATTTAACAGGGCTAAAACTTAAATTTTAGTGTGGGCGCAAGATGTGGGTGGGGGAGATAGGAGTGCTTATAATGAGGCTGGAGCAGTGATGCAGGTGACACCCGGGAAAAGCTGGACTGTTATTTAGGCTTCCAGGAGACATGGTCTATAAAATACCACTTGGATCCAATCACTTCCAAATTGCAATTCCCTGCACACAGGAAGGGAGCCTAACACACTGGATGCTAGGAGTGAAGCAGGGATGAAAGAAAACTTCCCAAAAAGTAAAGCCGACTTTAGTTAGGTTTTAGGGGAGATGTGTTGGCAGGAATTCCAATGCTAATGTCTGGAGCCAAGAGAGACTGAGATATTGTTTCCCAGGGTTGAGACCACGGACCCACGCAGCTTCACTCCATTCTCCACGTTGCAAAGAGTAATCCTTTAAAAATGCAGATTTTCTGTAGAAAAGTCTCCCCACTGCTTTGAGGATAATGTCAAAAAGTCTCTTTAGAATCTGGTCCCAGTTTACTTACTTCTTTAGTCTCAGTTTTTAAAACCTCCTCCCTCTTTAATTTTATGCTCCAGCCATGCTGAAGTTTTCTAAACTTGTCACATCCTATTCCCTTTGCCTAGAAATCCATCACCAAATGCTGCATTAAGGTGTCAACCCTACCTGCTCATAGTGCTCTGCTTCATTTAAGAGCTCTCTTCTAATCGCCTGCATCTGCAACGGGCTTGAGTCCTTGAGGGAAAGATTTAAGCGTCCATCTTAAGGTCTTAATGTCCAACTAATTGTGAATGAATTTTGGCGTCATTGCAGAGTTGGGTAGAGGATTTTGAATTAGCTCCTAGTAATTTTGGCCTTCAGAGAGTTTGTTATTACAGTTTAACAGTTCATTCTAGGGCATGGAGAAACCACTTTAGGGTTAAAACTATTGAGTAATAATTTAGGATTAGGCATATATAGATCTGTAATATCCGGCATGCTCAAGCTAATACCTTTAATGCCCATCAGCCTTTCATAGCAGATAACGTCGTTAGTCCTCATGACCCCTACCACTCGCCTAAGAGCAGCCGCTAGTCTAAACTCGGGATTTTTTTGCACTTAGACTCCGCCCACGACCCCCAAATGGCGGAAGAACTGCACGCTACGCGATGACATTTCACACTATGTGGAGGAATTCTGACGCTACGCCACCGGCGTAGGTAGAGTGGCCGGTTCTTCCTTCCTCTGTGCTTTCCTTGGCTCCTCCCCCAGAGCTTCACACGGTCATTGTGAAGCGATAGCGGCTGGCAAAGTCTAGGACTGTTTGAGACCTAGGGGCCGCAGATTTTTACCGTGTGTGAGCACTCGTGCTGCTCCTTCCCCACTCCAAAGGCTAAGGCGCAAAACTCATCTTTATTCTCTCCTTTCCCGCCGGAGCTAACCGCCCTGGCGGGCGCGGACATCTCGCTCCGCTCCTCCCCCTTCGGAAGCTCCCGCCTGCGCGCTCCTCCTCCTCTCCGTTCCCCAGTAACGCGCACGCGCGCCAGGCCGGCTCGCGCCCTCTCACTTTCCTCTGGCCCGCGAGACCCTCCTCCCCTTCCGCCTCGCGGCGCTCCCTCTCGCCGCCGTCTTCTCTGCACACCCCCGACACCGCGGGGCTACCCCGCCCGCCAACGGCGGGTCCTCCACTTCCCATTCCCCCTCGCTTCCCGCGCTCTCCGGCACGGGCCTAGCCCCGGCCTCCTCTCTCCCTCCCTTCCCCCTGATTCCCCTTCCGGACGCTGCCATCATGTTGAAGCCTCAGCCGCCACAACAGACCTCTCAGCCCCAGCAGCCGTCCGCTACGCAACAGGCCGTGGTCCGCCGGCCTCCCGGGGGTACCAGCCCCCCCAACGGCGGCCTCCCGGGTCCCCTGGCCTCAACCTCGGCCCCCTCAGGGCCTCCTACGGCCGCTTCTCCCTGCCTGGGGCCTGCAGCCGCTGCCGGGAGTGGGCTCCGCCGGGGAGCCGAGGGCGTCTTGGGACCGCAGCCGTCACCGCCGCCGCAGCAACATCAGGAGAGGCCAGGGGCAGCGGCCACAGGCAGCGCCAGGTGAGGAGACATGGATTTCCGGGCACTGGAGCCGAGGCTGCGGTGTGGCAGCGGCAGCTCGGTTCCGGCCCGGCGGCGGGGACCTGAGTATACCGCGCAAGGTGGGCCCCCAGTTTGGCCACTTCTGAGAGGCGCCAGGGGGAGTGGGAAACCCCCCCGTGAATCTGGGGGTGGGCCCTCTCAGATCCTGAGGTTGGAAGTAAAGGGTGCCCGGGCGAACACCGCGGGTTGTAGGGGCCGCGCTCAGCTTTCAGAGCCTAGTCAGGGATCGGGGCCTGGGCCTTAAGGGCGAACGGGGCGCTCGCCAGCACCTTCGGAACGAGTAGTTGGGGGGAGGTGTGTGTATTGAGAGGTGATGGGGTCCCCGGCTCCATTACCACGAAGGGTCTCGCGGTTCCCCGCTTCAGCCAATGGGGAGTCAGCTGCGGGAAGGGGGACCCCCGGCCGTAGCCAATGGAGGGGGGCGCGCGGCCCACAGTTTGGCCAATGGGGAGGGAGGGACTTAGGACCTGGTTACAACCTCCCTCTTCCCGGTCTGGCCAGTAGAAAGGGAGCAGGGTGGGCGGGGGGACGAAAGGAGGGACAACTGGGAGGACGGTGGGCCGGGAACATAGGGCGCGCGGTTGCTCTGTCTTATGACCCGGGCATTCGCCGAGCCCCGGCTAACATTGGGCAAGAGCTAGGAATGTGCGTGTAGAGGTTCACCTGGTGTTGGTGGAAATATGGTGGGCACCCAGTGGGTTTCTTTCTGTGGGTTAATAGGATTGAGGGTAAGCGGTAGACGCAGGCGCAGTGAGTTCTGATCACGGGAGGGGCGATTGTGGAGGCCCGTTGACTAGTGCGCCGGCGCAGACCGGGCGAGGCATCCCAGTGGATGTCTTTTGCGGCTGCGCTGTCCCCCAGCCCCGCGAACGGACCCTTGGTCGCCCTCCTCAAGCGCCGGTTACATCAGCCAGCAAGGAGCAGGTTACCGGGTGAACCCTCCCAGAGTGGGTAACAGCCTGAATGAATATAAAGAGGTCTAAGGGGTGGGTTGAAGAGGGAGTACCCTCCTCCCACGGTTTGGGGCATAAAGCTGCTAAAAATAATTCTTTTCTGTTAGGAAGATAATGTGTCTGAGCTAGGGAGTTCCAAATCAGCACTTACTGAACTTTCACCTTTACGTCTGGGCTGGATTATTGGTTATAGCATTGGTCTGTTCGAAGCATGTAGCACTGGCCCCCTTGGAGAAAGTGAGGAGGTTATGTTGAATTGGCTTTTAAAGCAGTTGACAACCGTTGTTTATTGCAGTCTGTTTACTTAGCATTTGGAGGGAATGTGTTTTACTGGCTTTTAGGCCTACGCTGTTTTTGCTCTATAAGGTGAGTTTGAAAATCTTGGTGATTAATTGGTTCATGGCCTAATTAGCATATATGGTTCTAGGATACCCAGTCTTTTGAAATTAATTGTAAAACAGGAATTGGGCATACATTTAAGTAACTAGTTTCTTGTTTACTTTTCTTATAGGGGACAAAGCACAGGAAAGGGACCCCCACAGTCACCGGTGAGTACCTCCTCCCCACCCCCCCTAAGATAGAGATGTATCTCTGGGAATATGGGGCAGATTAAGTGCAAAAATAGATACATACAAGGTGGGTGTGAGTGGAGTTTGGGCATTTAGAAGTAAGGTGTTGACTGGCTATTTCTTTATTTCTCCCTCCTGTGTTACTGATAGGTGTTGGAGGGTGTCTACACCAATTCCAGAATGCTGCATTTCCTTACAGCTGTTGTGGTAAGTGGGTGCCTAACCCTGGGTTGTTGGAGGAATGTAATGCTAGAGTTTTCTAGAGACACTTTTAAAATTTTTCCCACTCTCCCAGGGCTCTACTTGCGATGTAAAGGTGAAGAATGGTACCACCTATGAGGGTATCTTCAAGACTCTGAGTTCAAAGGTCAGTGTTCTTAAATTAGCTTTGGAGTTGAATGAGAGGAGGATGAAGAGAATGAAATAGGCTCACTGAAGAAGAGTGGCCTTGGAAAACATTGTGGCTGTTAATCATTTGTGCTAGATATGTGTGGCAAACAATAAAAGACATGGTCTGTGGTTTGTGGGCTGGGTACTTTAACGTTGAACTCAGTCCTGTGACTGATTTTGAGAAGACATTGCACATGGGAATGTGGTGTAGGGAAAGTTTAGAAAGGGTGAGGGTAAAATTGTCATGGTTTTGTCTTCACATTTCTTTATTCTGACCCTTGGTATTGGGAAATGGGACTTTTATATAGTTTGAACTAGCCGTAGACGCTGTGCACCGGAAAGTATCTGAGCCAGCAGGTGGCCCTCGTCGGGAAGACATTGTGGATACCATGGTGTTTAAACCAAGTGATGTCATGCTTGTCCACTTCCGAAATATTGACTTCAATTATGCTACTAAAGGTATTGTGCCAGGTTGTTATGTCAGACCCGGTCTTTGTGAATAGAGGGCAGAGAGCACTTAGATGATGTGATTCTCTCCTCCCTCTTTTACCGTCTTAGTTTTTTTCATTTTTTCTTTTGAGGAAGATGGCTGGATTTTTCTTCTTGAAAACATGTTAGATGCGTGGGATGAATTCTGGCCTGTGTTGTGGTTCTTCATATTTTCCTTGCTTTTTTTTCAATTCCTTGCTCCTCTTGAATTATTAAGATGAGGCTTTGGTTGGAGGGTGTTGGAAAGGCTATGAAATAACCACCTGACTACTGATTTTCAATTCTGCCCCTACAGACAAGTTTACAGATTCAGCCATTGCTATGAACTCCAAGGTGAATGGGGAGCACAAAGAGAAGGTGCTTCAGCGCTGGGAGGGGGGTGACAGCAACAGCGATGACTACGACCTCGAGTCTGACATGGTATAGTCTCCTTCCCCAAGAGCCTGAGAGCTGCACGGCTGTGCTGCGACAGTGGGGTTGTTGACAATGATGTATTCTTGGAACCTGGAGTTGCTTCTGTGGGTGGAGGGAGGGAAATCTTTTACTATTGCTTGTTAATGGCAGGCAGGTTTCAAATGGAAAGGTACAGAAAATAACAAAACAAAAATACCTGTTTCCCCATCATCTGTGATTGATAATTATAAGCACTTGCTTCCAGTCCTTCCCCACCCAACAACTTAGAAAAAAGTATAAAGATTGGGTGCCATATAGGCCCATTTCCCTTCTCAAAAACAACTACCTTAAATCATTTAAAATTTTTCATGAGTAAATGCATATTATTTTGCTATGCTTAATTTGCACGAGAATGGACTTTTCCTGACTGTTGTTTTGAATTTTTTCATATTGGTACATATATCTAGTTTATCGTTCTTAACTTTTGACTGTTCTACTTACATACATATGTATATGAAGACATCAAATTGTATTTATCCCTTACTGATTGGTGTTACATTGCTATTATTTTTCTATTAAGAATAGTGCCTTACTCTGCCTCTCTGGGGAGGTATGGGTAAAATTGCAGTATTTCCAGAATTTTCCCTGGCCTTTGTGCATCTCCACATCAGTAGGTGTTTCCAAGGGGTGGAGAGAAGTAGTTTATCTCCATATCAGTAGGTAATTACATGGGCCGATGAGGGCTTATTTGGGCCAGAGAAGTTGGGTGGGGCCTCTTCTGCAGCTGGGTCGCAACACTGGAGAGCAGAAGTGGACGACTGCTTGTAAGAAATGAACAGCTTTCTCCCCACTTAAAAAAAAAGTTTTCAGAGTTTTTAGAACATGTGTCCCCATGCACATAAGCCAGAATCTACCTGTAGTGTAAACCTGGAAATCGATTTGTTTTCCTAGTTCCTGCCAGTTTGTGCTACAGTTCCCACCAGCATGTTCCCATTTTTCCACTTTTGGTGTAGTCGTATATTTTTAAGGTTTTCAAACCAAATGGATGAAAATGCTAGGTCATTGTTGCTTTCCTTGCTGGGTTTTAAAACATTCTCCCTCTTCCCTCCCTAGTCCAATGGATGGGATCCCAACGAAATGTTCAAATTCAATGAGGAGAATTATGGTGTAAAGACAACCTATGATAGCAGTCTCTCTTCTTACACGTGAGTGTCTTGGAACTTCCCAGGTGGTGCGGTTTGAGTCATGGGATCACCAAAAGAAGGCAGATCTTTAGGTGGAACATAGCATTTATTCATGCTGTTCTCAATGTCCAGGTTGTCCACTCTCCTCACCTCTGGTCTGCTTTGTGAATTGTTCCTTCACAGGTTTTTCTCTTAATCTTGATTCCAGGCCATTTCATGGGTAGTAAATAACTGCTTTCTTGTCCACCCATCCATAATTTTTCTCTAGATTTAAAACAGACATATGCATCTTAAGTGTCCCTCAGATTCAGAGATAGTTCCTTGCTTTTAGGTATGGGATCTAGTAGATGCCCAGTAAATATATGCTGAGTTATTGAAAGGGTGTGCTCGCATACCTGAGCTGGTGACAGGACTGATAGGAATGTTTTTCCTTTTTTCCTTGTTGTCGCCTGACTCTGGGATGGTTGTGGTCCTTGGTGGTCCTCTTAGGGTGCCCTTAGAGAAGGACAATTCAGAAGAGTTTCGTCAGAGGGAGCTGCGTGCAGCCCAGTTGGCTCGAGAGATTGAATCAAGTCCCCAGTACCGCCTGCGGATCGCCATGGAGAACGATGATGGGCGCACTGAGGAGGAGAAACACAGTGCGGTCCAACGGCAGGGTTCAGGACGGGAGAGCCCCAGTTTGGCATCTAGGTAATGCTGGGGCATGCTGGTCTGTTTGGGACTCACTGTATGGGCCTGGACTTGGGCCAAGAGCTTTTTGTAAACTCTTGTTTAAGACTTACAAGGCTAAAGCTTATGGCTTTAGGAAAAAATTTACTTCCAGACTTCTGATCTATATTTTCCTTTTTCTCTGCATATTATTCATCCATATGTATATCTTACTTTCTTTTATGAAAATTAACTCAAACTCTACATGATGTTCTGTGTCTTATAAATACTACACCTTGAACTACAGTGTGACACTACCACTACTTTTCTCCTAGGTCAGGAGTGGTAGAATGGTAGGGCATTGGCCAAGTTGGTCAGATCAGAGTTAATGCAACAGAAGGTCATAAACTTACTAGTGACACATTTAACCAGGACAGATGATCAAGTTGGATAATGTAAAAAGCTGGAGCCAGGGACGTGTGTGTGTGTGTGTGAATGCACGTGCACACATACTTTAGAAGGAAGGGTTTCCACTTTCTAAAATGTGTGGGTTCTATGGCTGCTTGACTTTATTTGAACTCTCTCCCTCAGGGAGGGAAAGTATATCCCTCTACCCCAACGAGTTCGGGAAGGTCCTCGGGGAGGAGTTCGATGCAGTAGTTCCCGGGGCGGCAGGCCTGGCCTTAGCTCTTTGCCACCTCGGGGCCCTCACCATCTTGACAGCAGCAGCCCTGGCCCAGGTTCCGAGACCCGTGGTATCAATGGAGGTGAGTGTGAAGCAAATTTTTGTGGGGGGCATGGGAGGGGATGGCAGGGAAGTGGGAAGGATCATGGAAAGGATTTAGATGGGTTGGAAGGATGATGGCATTTGTGGTAATAGCAGGTACTCTGCCTTTTTTTCCCCCATCCTTTGAAAAAAAAAAAAAATAGGACCTACCCGCATGTCCCCTAAGGCACAGCGACCTTTGAGAGGTGCCAAGACTCTCTCTTCACCCAGCAATAGGCCTTCTGGAGAAGCTTCTGTTGCACCTCCTCCTGCAGGTAAAATTTCAGGAGTGTTACATGGATAGGAATTTGTAGAAGGATCTAAATATGTCAGTTGTTGGAATGCTGGATGGGAGATAATTTCAAGGTATGAAAGATGTTTTATGGGGGATTGAATTAATGATTTTTAGGAAAGAATTTGTTAATTTTCCTCATGCAGAAATCCTGATGTAGCAGTCATGGGTTGTGTCTGGCTGGGAGATGTCTTTTTTTTAAATTAGTTGTCAACATTTTAGAAAACAAAAATCATAGAAATCATAATTGCCACTTTCTTTTGAAATACAGAAAGTTCTGCCAATACTGAACCTGTTCTGCTGCATAGTTGGCTGGAACTGAGTCATGATTGTCTCTTTAAGCCTTCCAGTCTTTCATGGTGCTCATGAGGCCATGTTATCTGCTTAAGTTGTCTGCCTTGTTTTTCTAGACATTTAGGTTGTGACCTTGCGTATAAAAAATGGGTAAATCTTTTCCAGTAAGTACCCCATACTCATTGCCTATTGACCAGCGGTAACCATCGTGCAGCTTTCCCTTTTCTTCCAGCGGGCCGGATGTACCCCCCACGGTCTCCCAAGTCAGCTGCCCCTGCCCCAGTCTCAGCTTCCTGTCCAGAGACTCCCATGGGCTCAGCAGTACCGACTTCTTCTGCTTCCATCTCTGTGACTTCATCAGTTGTGGAACCTGGTGTAGGCTGCGTTTCCCCAGCTTCTCCAAAGATCTTACTGGCCCCCACAGATGGTAAGAGCCATGTGGTCAAGGGCTATGGAAAATGTGAAGTGTGTGTCTGGACAGAAAGATCTTCAGGCATCCTTTTTCTTGCTTAGTAAAAGAACTTCCAGCTAAGGAACCTGGGAGAACTCTGGAGTCCCAGGAGCTATCCCGGATAGCTGGGAAAGGTAAGGATTATTTCATCTGCTGAGGTCTTGTGCCCCTTTGATTAAGAGCATTTCAGTTAGGAAGGCTGTTGGAATTCAGAAACATTGTCTATCAGCCCTGTGGTCCTTATTGCTCTTGCTGGATTCCCAAGAGCTCTTATAACCTTGGTCTCTTTTCCTTTGAGCTACTGGTACTATATAGCTACCTCTGAGAAAAGAAATGTGTATTCTCTCCTTTTTCACTATCTCCTAGTTCCTGGCCTTCAGAATGAACAGAAGCGCTTTCAACTGGAAGAACTGAGGAAGTTTGGAGCCCAGTTTAAGGTGACACAAGTGTGGGAATGTGCTAGGATGTTAGTTGGATGATGGGGGTGAGGATGGTATTATAGAGACATTGGACTGGGTGGGACAGAAGAGATGAGAGAAGCAAGGATAAAAGAAGCAGAACCTGGGGTGTGGACCAGGTAGTACTGTATGTTTCTCTCCTTTCAGCTTCAGCCCAGTAGTTCCCCTGAGAACAGCCTGGATCCTTTTCCTCCCCGGATCTTGAAGGAGGAGGTGAAAGGGAAGGAGAAGGAAGTTGATGGTCTGTTGACTTCAGAATCCATGGGGTCCCCAGTCTCCTCCAAGACAGAGTCCATATCGGATAAGGAGGACAAACCACCCCTGCCATCAGTCACTGAGGGGCCAGAGCAGCCCCCACTGCCTTGCCCAAGCCAAACTGGCAGCCCCCCAGTGGGCCTCATCAAGGGAGATGACAAGGATGAGGGCCCTGTTGCTGAGTGAGTTGTGGGAAGCTGGGTGGTGAATCAGGGTTGATGAGGGGCAAGCCATGACGACTTACTTTATTTTCCTTTTATAGACAAGTGAAGAAGTCAACACTGAACCCCAATGCTAAGGAGTTCAACCCCACAAAGCCTCTGCTGTCTGTGGTGAGATGGGATGGGAGAACATGGACTTAGTTTCTGTGAGGCAGATGTAGGAGTGGGGTAATAGAGAGTTGTGGGAAGTTTGGGACCAGGGACAGGAAGAGGAGACATTGTGCAAATGTGTAGGGACAGTAGCAGTTGGGCAGGTTTGGGGAAAACAGGCCTAAGGTTTGAGGCGGGGGGCGGATCCTGATGTGTCTGACAAGTGGTCACATATTTCTTCCTGGAACTTAGCATTTGGCTTAGGGAATATGTGATTAGTGAGGTAATTAGGAGCATGGCTTCATTCAGGCCCAGTGACTAGGCTTGAACCCCTGTATGTATAAGCTTGATGATCTTGAGCAAGCCACTTAATCTCTCTGCCTCAGTTTCTTTGCCTATAATTTGAGAATGCTTGTGTCATAGGGATGGGTGTGAGGCTTAAAATAAAGTGTAGAATGTGTTCAGCACACAGCACTCTGAGTGCATTGCCATTTCAGGTATGGGTTGGGGGTCACAAAAATTGAACATTATACATATTCTCCTATATCTCTTAAAGAATAAATCTACCAGTACCCCAACTTCTCCGGGGCCCCGGACTCATTCAACTCCCTCTATCCCGGTGCTGACAGCAGGCCAGAGTGGGCTCTATAGCCCTCAGTACATTTCCTACATACCTCCAATTCACATGGGACCAGCTGTTCAGGTAAGAGGAGGAGGGTAAGAGGTCTGGGCTGGTAAGGACCAGGTCAGGCCTGTCCTGGGCATTTGTGTAAGCAAGTCATTCTGTCTCATCTGTGTTCTTGTCCCTAGGCTCCTCAAATGTATCCATATCCTGTATCCAACTCTGTGCCTGGACAGCAGGGCAAGTATCGGGGAGCAAAAGGTGAGCCGAGTTAGGAAGGGCAGTTGGTGGGAATGCCCATATCTCCTGCTGGCAGATGGAGCTTGAACTTGGCACTATTTTGCCTCAACCCACAGGCTCCCTACCTCCCCAGCGCTCGGACCAACACCAGCCCGCCTCAGCCCCTCCAATGATGCAAGCTGCTGCTGCTGCTGCTGGCCCACCTCTGGTGGCTGCCACACCTTACTCTTCCTACATCCCCTACAACCCACAGCAGTTCCCAGGCCAGCCTGCCATGATGCAGCCCATGGCTCACTACCCTTCACAGGTGACAGGCACAAGAGGGAAATGGGGGTACAGAATCCGTGTGAGGGACCCCATCTCCACCTCGCAGCCTCAGGATCTGGGTGAGAGAGGCAGGCAGTATTCTGGATGGAGGTGTTGGACTCAAGTTTCAGTGTTGGCTCTGATAGGACCTGTGTAGCAAGGTGCTGAACATCTGAACCTTAGTTTTTCCCCCTATATGGTACAGATAAAAAGGCTTTTCTTCAGGAGGATTACTGTGAATGTTGAAAGAGGTAGTTAGGACCAGGCCAGAGTAGGGCTGGGCACAGGTTATGGGGTAGCAGGACAAGCTTCCCAAAGTCCTCTGTCATGCTGATGTTTTCTTTGTCCCTCCAGCCGGTGTTTGCCCCCATGCTTCAAAGCAACCCACGCATGCTGACGTCGGGGAGCCATCCCCAGGCCATTGTGTCATCGTCCACCCCTCAGTACCCTTCTGCAGAGCAGCCCACTCCCCAAGCCCTTTATGGTGAGTTCTGCTGTACCTTCTCCCCAAGGCTGTGCTTCTCAGTCCCTCCCGTGTGCTTGGCAATGATTCTCTCCCTCTTCTGCTGTAGCCACTGTTCACCAGTCCTATCCACACCATACCACGCAGCTCCATGCCCACCAGCCGCAGCCAGCCACCACACCTACTGGGAGCCAGCCACAGTCCCAGCATGCGGCCCCCAGTCCTGTCCAGGTGCCTGCCATGGGGGATCCAAGTGGTTGGGGCTGTAAATAAAGGGTGACCAGAAGAAAGGGGTAGAGCTAGGTGTCATTCCCCAAGGTCAGGACCAGTCAATGGGTGGTAGGCATGGGTGCAGGAGGACAGGGTGGCACTCACCCTTACCCTCCCTGACAGCACCAGGCGGGGCAGGCCCCACACCTGGGCAGTGGACAGCCACAGCAGAATCTGTACCACCCAGGGGCCCTGACAGGCACGCCGCCTTCTCTGCCACCGGGACCTTCGGCCCAGTCCCCTCAGAGCAGCTTTCCCCAGCCAGCTGCTGTGTATGCCATCCATGCCCACCAGCAGCTGCCCCACGGCTTCACCAACATGGCCCACGTTACCCAGGTAAGAGCCTGAGGGACCTGGAGCTATGGTACTGTGGGTCCCGAGTGCCTGGTGCCGCCTGACGCAGCGCCTGATGCCAGGACTCTTGGGCTGGCCTGCTGTGGCGCCCCCAGCTGCTCCTTGTTCTCTGCAGGCCCATGTCCAAACGGGAATCACGGCAGCCCCGCCCCCCCACCCTGGGGCTCCCCACCCGCCCCAGGTGATGCTGCTGCACCCACCCCAGAGCCATGGGGGCCCCCCCCAAGGCGCGGTGCCCCAGAGCGGGGTGCCTGCACTCTCAGCTTCCACACCCTCACCCTACCCCTACATCGGACACCCCCAAGGTGAGCAGCCTGGCCAGGCGCCTGGATTTCCAGGAGGAGCCGATGACAGGATTCGTGAGTTCTCATTAGCTGGGGGAATTTGGCATGGAAGAGCTGATGGGCTGCAGGTGGGGCAGGATGCACGGGTTCTGGGTGGGGAGTGAGGGGTCTTGGAGGCAGGGTTGTCCCACAGGGCGCCCGCCGACCTGCACCTGTCTGTGAAGTATGTAGGGTGGGCAGAAGCCACAGTCGCCGCCGCCAGGGGCTTGCTCCTGGCTCTGTCCTTTGCTTCCCTCCGTCCTCGCTCAGTTGTGATCCAGCAGCCCCCCTCCCCACTGCCTCCCCAGCTCTCAGTGACCCCGACTGTCTCCTGACTTAGCCGAGGTAAGGTCAGCGCAGCAGACAGGGCCAGGCTGGGGTGTGGGGGGCTGAGCTGGGCACACAAGTAAGGGCTCTGGCTCACTGGGAAAACAGCAATTGATTTGTGCTTCCAACAGCCCCATGAGACACCTTGAGGAGGCCGCTCCCACCCAAACACTCCCCACACCCCACACTGGACGGCATTGGATAAAGGGACAGCTGCTTGGGTTCTAATGCTCCTGCTCTCTTCTCTTTCCCCTCCAACCAGTTCAATCTCATCCCTCCCAGCAGCTCCCCTTCCACCCCCCGGGGAACTGAAGATTGTCCTGGCCGCGACCTGAGACCTCCATGAGTGGAGGGAAGAGTGATCTATGTCTCTTCCCCCAGCAGCTCGGACCAGTCCCAGCCCCGCAAACCCATTCCCCTGAGGGAGCTGGGGAATTCCTGCCAAGCACCTTGAATGGGAGGGGCCTCCAAGTGGGCAGGGCCAGGGTCCAGCCGGGTGGGAGGTTTTGGGGGGGTTCCTTCTCTGCCCCTGCCAATCCCTACTGTCTTGCCCTCCCAATCCTCTCATTTTCCCCCACTGGAGATGGAAGATCTTTTATTTTCTATTATTTATAACCTCAGACTTGGGCCCCCTGTTGTTTCTTCCCCATTAACTTGAGTCATCTGCGTGAGAGACAGACAGATGCCCCACAAGGATGGTTGGACAAGGACTTTTACTTTTTATTACATAAAAATATTTTAAAAAATATTAAAAAAATAATAAAATTTTAAACTAACTTAATCTGCCTGTCGTTTCCCTCTTTTTGGAGAGAATAAGATGGTGCTGTCAGTCTTTCTTGGTATATTGTGGTTCCCAAGGTGGGGCAGTGTAATTGCTACATGGGTCACCCCCTGCCGATGACCTGGAAATCAGCCACATCTTGAGGTATGATTTGAAGTTTTCATTTCTAATGTAAGTACCTCATGAATTGTGTACGTCTTTACACTGAAAAGCACTGTAGTGTTACTGGCCACTGGGAATAAAGGCTTGCCTGGTGTGCTTAGCTGCAGTATTTGGGTGTGGGTGATGAGGCGCCAGGTTCAGGGGAGCAGGAGCTAAACTAGGATAACGGACAGGACTAGAGCCAAGCAGGAGGTGGTGAAAGGAGAAATAATAGGCTTCAGAGGAAGTGGAGTTTTGTTTCTTCCAAGGAGGCAGTTTGGATTTTTTTTTTCACGGAAACATGAATTTGCATGTCATTCCTGCTCAGCGGCCATACTAGGTAACCTGTATTGTTCCAGTTTTAGTATATATACTGCTAAAGGGAACAAGGCAGTTTGGAATTTGTAGTCTGTGACCTAACCTTGGTTTTCTTGTATAATGGAGATAATTTTGCCCTTAGAGGACTGTAAGGATGAGACTGGTGCTCAGTGGGCAGGGCTGTTTCAGCTTGGACCAATCAGGAGATTGGGACAGGGCAGGAAGAATGAAAGTTAAATACAGGGGAATGTCCAGGTTGTAGGGATCTGAAACCTGTTACTGGTAAGTATGAGGTTGGCAGGGGGCAGGGAGGAATGGAAAGAGGTAAGTAAAAAATGGGCAGGCTTAGGTCCCAAGCTGAAGTTCTAGGGGATGCCAGTTGAGGGTAGGGATGGGAGAAGCAGAGCAAGAAAGCCTTAGCTTCCTGACGTTGGTTGGCAGTGCAGATGGGCCAGGCCTCTGCGGTAGTGAGTGAGCTGTGACTGCAGCCATTACGGCATGGCCCTTGAAGCTTCACAGAAGGACTGCAGGTTGGTTGATACCTCATCCTCTTTTTTCTGAGCAGCAACTCAAAAGTTGGGAGGGAAGTTGGCCTTCATCCAGTAAGGCATCCTCCTGTGAAACTTGTGCCTCAGCTCTTGATAAGTGTAAAACAAGTAAACCTGCCCTGTCATCAGACAGACCTTGTTAAGTTCTGATGTCCTTTTTACCTCAAGCCCACTTACTTGCTTCTGAAGTCACAGATCAGATTATGAGTTTTTCAAAACAGATCTCAGGTTGGCCCAAGAGCCTCTCCTTGGTGCTACTTGTCAGTGGCTTGTCTGTCCTGGATATACTAGTTTGTCAGGATCCAAGGTGGAAAGAGTTGTCCATTAATCCCTGCCGGTTATCATTTGTTTGGGGACAGCATCTTGGTCAGTTCAAGTTTGTGAAAATTAACTCTGCATTTTACTCCCTGCATATTTGATAAAACAGCCTTTCTCAATTTTCAATCTCAGTAAATGTTGAAAATGAAACCATTTTACACATTCTATTTGGAACTGGTGACATAGTGGTGTTACTAATACATCAAGCATGCAGATTACATATTAAGTACCTCTTACACGCTGAGTACTGGTTCTAGAGGTAAGATACAGGCCCCCATTATCACAGACCTTAAACAAGGGTAGCTAGACATTCACAGCCTGATAACTACCTGAACAGGAAATGAGGTAGGTCTGGCACCTGAGCCTGCTGCAAGTGATAAAGGGATAATAGCCAAGTGATAACTTTCCCAGTACCTCCTAGTAGGATAGCAGCTATGAATATTCATTCCTCCTGGAGAATTTTGCTAGGCAATCATACAAAGCTCACTAGTTTTCTCCTTTGGCTACCTTCCTTTCTCAAGCTGTCAAAGCAGTGCAGACAGCTTTACAAAGATGGGAGGTTTTCTAGACCACACCAGAGATGAGCTCCCAGGGTTTATCAAGCTCAACAGTCATGGGCCTCAGCTCCATTTTTATAACCTCCACCCACCGATCCTCTCTGACTTTTATAAAGAACATAGGACACAACAAGCTAGCTTACTATTCACAGAACAGTTTATTGACCTACCTCACCCAGTAGGCCACATGGCCCCTTCTGACCAGGAGAAGTGTGCTGGGTTGCAGTCTATGTCCTGGGAAGGGGGCTCCAGAAACAGGAGAGAACATGGGCCTTGCAGCCCTGAATGCAGTCTGAACAGAGGATCACACTTAACTCCACTTGATATTCTTGTCCTCCTCTGTCATGGCTGGTACGTCAGTGACAAGGCCAGTACCGATGGTCCGGTTGCCATCTCGAAGGGTGAAGCGCTGGCCTTTTTCTAAGATCATTGGCTGCCGCAAGATTAGGCTGAGCCTCAGGTCCTCCCCGGGCATGGCAAGCTCCTGGAAGGGCAGAGACAGATCGTGCATGGCCTTCGGGGTGCCTTCACTCTGTTTGCTGGCTACCAGAGGGGTTAAAAGTCACCGGGAAACGGAACAGCATGATTCCTTCTGGGGACGACATCCTAGCTGTCAGGCATGTGCAAAAGCAGAAAAAGACTAGTGGTCAGTGTTTCTTAGGTATGTTTTTAAGAAAGTTGAGGGAATTTGTGGAGTTTTATGGGTTTCTTATTTGCCGGACTTCTCTGCACCCTTATGTATAGTGAAACCCTCAACAAGAGGAATGCTTTTCTGGGAAATCTTTCTGGATAAATACTGACATAGCTAAGCTTTTGTCTACTTCAGCCTAGGAAATACTGGATGAGGATTCACTCCTAAGCCCACTGGTCCAGACTTCCATCACCAGTTTCGTCTACATCAGCCAACCTTCTCTTCACCCAAGGAAAAGTCACCCACACTATCACATCTCTGGAACAGCGAGCGAGGCAGAGGTGATATGAGGGGTGCCCCTTCCATGTTCTCTACATCCACTGTACCTTCCCTGGAGGCAAGATGACACGACAGGCCATATCCCAAGTCAGGGAGAACATGACAGGCATGAAGTGGGATACAAAAGGCTTGTGGCGGCCACCTTCCTCCTTGCTGAGTATGTAAACCTGGAAATGAAAGAGCAGTAAGAGTGGAGCCAGGCTTGACTGGAAGCACTGCCTTTTCACAGGGGACAGTTTTGGCTCAGTGCTGCCCACCATCACCTGCTGCCCTCACCTGTGCCTCCACCTTCTGGTGGGGCTGGATGGATCCTGGCTTGGCCATGACTAGGCCACGCCTCAGATCCTCCCGCTTCAAGCCTCGGACCAGGGCCCCAAGGTTGTCACCTGCCTCTGCCCTCTCTAGGCTCTTATGGAACATCTCAATGCCTAGGAGGGAGAAGAGATTAGGGAGGAGGATCGGGGGCAAAAGGAAGGCACAAGGAATCTGCAAGAGAGGCTATCCTGGAGCTAGGCTGTGGGGTTGAGTTCCTTCCTGTACCTGTCACCACAGTACGAATGTTCTTGCTATGTCCCAGGAACTCACACTCATCTCCCTTCTTCAAAATGCCACGCTCTAGTGTACCTGTCACCACCGTGCCCCGGCCTAGAAGGGAACAGGACATCAGGGAGGGACCCCAGGCAAGGCTACTGCCAGGGGAGGAAGAGTTGATGGAGCATGGCGCTCACCAGGGATAGAGTAAACTGACTCTATAGGCAGCAGGAAAGGCTTCTCCAGGTCCCGGGTGGGTACTGTGATGTACATGTCCACAGCATCCAACAGCTTCTGCACAGACTTCAGGCCTAGCTCCGGGTCACGTTGCTATGGGGGGATATGACAGGACTCTGAAATTTCCATTCTGCTCCTCTTACCAATAACCACTCCCCAGACAGAGCAGAGCTCTGGCTGCCCAACCAGGCTGATCCTCTGCCTGCCTGACCCTGCCTTCACCTCAAGTGCACAGAGAGCAGAGCCTATGATGACTGGGGTCTCCTCCCCTTTGTAGCCAAACTCAGTGAGCAGTTCCCGGATCTCCAGTTCAACTAGCTCCACCATTTCAGCATCCTGGACAGCGTCTGCCTTGTTCACATATACCACAACGTGCTCTACTCCAATCTGTACATGGGAAAGAGTGAGAGATGGTGTCCTGGCTGGCCCAACTTCCCACTCTTCCTCTTTCCACCCCTACCCAGACTCCTGAGTACCTGTTTGGCCAGCAGTAAGTGCTCTCGGGTCTGGGGCATGGGGCCATCATTGGCTGCCACCACCAGGATGCAGCCGTCGAGCGGGGCGGTACCAGTGATCATATTCTGAGCAGGGGGAGGAAAGGAAACAGCCTAGTTCAACAACTTCCTCAGTTCCACATCCATCTAGCCAAGCACAGCAGTTAGGAACTGAGGTCCACCTTTCTCTGCCGTCTCCTTACCACCCACTTTGAGTGGCTATGCTCACAAATTCATGATTTCAAACCCATACCTCTTGAATATCTTAAATCTCCTCCCCACAAGCCCAGCATTTTTCCTCACAGGAGGCAGCTCCTGGCCCTGTTTCTAGCCACTTTCTCACCTTAACATAATCTGCATGACCTGGACAGTCTGTGTGGGCATAGTGGCGGGCGGCGGTGCTATACTCCACGTGGGCTGCATTGATGGTGATACCACGGGCTCGCTCCTCCGGAGCGTTGTCAATCTCCTCATATTTCTTAAACTTGGCTCCACCTCCCTCAGCTAAAACTAGTGAAGGGAAGAAAACACACCTCTCAGCTAAAGTTCCAGAGGTAGAGGCAGGGTTCAGGCCACAGCCCGAGTTTTTCCCACCTAAACAAAGGTCATTCTTGGGGAATAATGCTTCCATGACACCCCGTCTCAACGCCTCCAAGTAGAAGTAACTTCGGTTCAGCAAGAAATGTTAAAGCGCCTCAAGGTCCAGCCATGGCTTCTGTAGTCTAAAGTTGCCTCTCACAGGGCACTGGCCACATCTACCTGGAGGCCATTCGGGGTCCCTAATTTATGTATCAGGGGATTATGTGTCTCCTGCATCTTCCAACCCACCACCAGCCCGAGTTCTGGCTCCTAGGGCCACATTAAACACCTTCAGCAGCCAGTCCGCTGGCCCCATCTCCCCGGCTCCAGGTCGCGCCAGCAGAGCAGGCGCTGCTGGACACGCCCAACCCAACCCCGCTTACTTTTCGTGATGGCCGCGGTCAGTGTGGTCTTGCCGTGGTCCACATGGCCGATGGTACCAACATTCACATGGGGCTTGTCGCGCACATAAGTCTTCTTGGCCTCCACGACTAAACCGCGGCACAAGGGTTGTGCTGGGACCTTCAGTTGTCGCAAGAGACCCTGCAATAGTGGGGTCGGGCCGGGACAGAGACCTGCCGTCCCAGAGGCTTGGAGTCAGGGCGCGGGTCCGAGCCCAGCCACTCCCGACGACCCCCACGCGTCCCCGGGCAGCCATCGCTTTCCCAGTCCCCTCACCGCTGAAAAGAGGTCTCGCGCGCAGCAGAGTGGTGACCGCCATTGTGGTCGTATTCACGCCCCGAATACCGGGTACCCTACACCCTCGCGTGCAGCAAGGAAAAGGCACTAGACATCAGACGTCACTTCCGGCGGAAGTGAGCCAGAAGGGCAAGTCTGGGCCCCCTCTAGCCATCAGTTTTTATGGTCATCTCCACTGACTTCCGGGCGCGGGACGGAAGACGCCAAGGAAGATGCTCGTGTCACAGGACCGGGCTAGTATGTAGGTTTCCACGACGCACTTGGGATTTGCAGGCTGAGGAAGCAACGCAGTTCTCTCTGGAAGCGCCGGAGGGCGATTTGGAGCGTCCCTTAATGCACCAGCGCTCGAAGGCTCATGGGCCTTGTAGTTCAGGGCTGCAAGCTGTGTTTGCACTTCGCATAGAAGTTAGGTAGGGCTCCGCGGGGTCCACAGGGTGAGTGCCAGCTTCGGGGAGGCCGAGGCGGTGACCTCGGCGCGGATTGCTCAGGACCGCCCTGGCCCACAACCCATCACTGCGCAGGTCTGGCGAGAGATCTGGCGGATTTTGTGCCGCAGCTGGAGGTAGGACCAAGTCCTGCAATTAGGCTGAGGAAGATTGTCCTGGGAGCCTTTCGGAGGGTGGGGCTCAAGTGTGACTCATCTCTCTGCTGGGCCTGCCCCCCCACCCCCTTATCTGTAACGTGTGAGCAGTAGTAACTACTTCATGGGGAGATCCTGACGTCTGGCTATGAGAGGAAATGAGTTAGGTAGGAGGCAGGAATGGAATCCAGGGGTCTCCTGTCCCACAGTCCTTGACTCTCAAATACCCGTCCTCCTAGCTCACAGCCTGTGTCAGACAAAGCTTTATCGTCCACCCTTGTAGCCCCCTTAGCAGTGCTGGGAATAATTCTCTTGATCGTCGCCCCACCCAGTTTTATTGACGACTTCTGAGGTTGAGGGACCAGCGTCAGGTGCCTTTAAGGACAGCCTGAGTCTGTCTTGGTCCCGCTGTGTCTCCAGCAACTAACACAGAGCTGGGCACCCAGTGAGTGCTCAGTAAATAAATGTCTTGACTGAATGAGTGCAAGGATAGTAAATGACCTGTAACTTTCATATCCATCATCTCATCACCCTGGGATGATAATAGCAGCTGCTTAACCCTGATTGATGTTTCTGAAACTCATCAGATACTAAAACTCAATTAATGGTTTTTGTTGCTAATAGATTCCTTCATTCTTCCCTTGGAGATTATGATTCAGTAGGGTCTGAGCACACAGACAAGGAAACTATACTTATAACACACACACACTACTTAAATTCATAAGAGTTTGGGAAACTCAAAACTAGAGATTTTTATGGATCAGGCATTTGTGCAAATGCTTCATATTGGTTCACATTCAGTGCTCTTCCAAAGTTGCCCTGTGTGGTAGGAGCCATTTTTTTCATTTTACAGGTGAAAAAACAGCATCAAGATGATTAAGGAAACCAACACAGCTGAACTCCAAAAAAGTGTGCACTAAACCATTGCACTGTACTATATCATTTTACTGCTCAGATACAGAGAGGAATTTGCTAGACTTCTGGCCTCCCAGGTACTTAGGAAGAACTAGTACTCTATGAAAGGCTTCTCTTTGTCCCTCTCTTGTTCCTCAGTCACTCCACTCCTGGGCATTTATCCTGAGACACTATTGGCCACTTCTGGGATGTAAGATTCTTTTTTGGGTGGTACTTGAACTAGTGCTTAGTGTTTCAGTGGTGCTGTATTTATGCTAATGTGTATTAGCTTGAAAAACAAGTGTTGTAAATACTGAGTTTTTAAAAAAATGAATCAATTAAAAAAAACATTTGGCAGAGAATATGATGGGTGGTATGGCAAATTCAGGGGAAGGTGTTATATGAATGACAAATTTGAGAATCACAGTGCTCAGAAAAGAGTCCAAAGGGAGAAAATTTTTGGTAAAACTTGATGATAGCATCCTTTGTAATAGGAATCTTGGTTTACAGATAACAGAATTCAGAGTGGCTGGTTTAAGCAGAAGAGGGACTTGGTTAAGGGTGTTAAGCAGCTTACAGAACTGTAGGGTGTACTGAAGAAATAGCTCCAGTCAGAGAACTGATCTCACCTAATAAGAAAACTGCTGCTACTGCCACTGTCACCAAATTCTAAATGCCAGGACTTAGACTTGTGAACAACAGTTACTGCTCATGGCACCAAAGCCACTTCTGCATCCATAAAATGACCTTTCCTCACACCAAATTCAAAGCCTTGCATGGAGAAGCCTAGATCATCTGTCAGTGTTCTTGTATCACAGAGGCTGAGAGGTGTATCCTAATTTTGATGCTGGGGAGCAGGACTAATAGCAGGGAATTTCCCCCAACGTCCAGCCATGCTGACTACCAACATCACACTGAAAGAGTGGAATGAACACAAATGTCCAGTAATGTGGATATGGTAAGCATGGATTTGACATAGCCACTAGATAATATATTAATAAGTGGGCTCAGAGTTGTAGAGACATTTTTTGTGCAGCATCTTGTACTCTTAAAAAAAAGATGCTTTTGAAATCAAATGGCCTCCTTGGACCCCCTAGCAGTCCGTTCATTCTACTCTGTGGCAGACACTTGAGGTTCTGCTTAACAACCATCTTTCCATCTTCAGGCAGACCCCTGGTTTTGTCCAGGGTGGCTCTCTCCCCAGTTCCAGGAATAAATCCTGACAGGTCTAGTCCAGTTCTGGTGGTCTTATTTTTCTTCTCAGGGGATTTGTTTAGGGTTGGGTATGTGACTCCTTTGGGGCCAATGACTGGTAAGAGAAAATCTGTTTGGTGGTGACAATGGTGGTGGGGGAATCTCTTCCAGGAAAGGGTCCCTCACTCTTTTAAGAAGGAGACACTGAAGAGATGGACTCCTTCTGACTCTGGATGTCCCTGGGTTTGGATGGGAAGCCTGAAACTACTATGCCCATCTTGCTCCTAGTCAATGGTGAAGCCAAAATCCAGAAGAGGACAAAGCAAAGAGGTTGTTAGATGACTGGACTCCTTGAGGTGTGATGACACATGTCATTGGTTAAGCCAGACTAGGTTGCAGTTGTCTTATTAACATCCTAATGGATACTCTGTCTCGATGCACTTGGTACTGTAAGACATATTTCTTGGTTTCACTTAGACAGAGTGCCTTGAGAATGGCCAGGACTGGGCTTCCTTTATCTCTGTGTTCTCTGTGCCTGGCCACTGTAGACCTCTGAATGTTTGCTCTTGAACTACTAATGAGCCTTCCAAATGAAGGGTGCCGCCACAGTGGTGCTACAAACTTAGTATCTCTAAAATAGGACTCTTCCCGTGCTCTCCTTACATATCTAAATAAACAACACCACCTTTCTCCCCCATCACTCCTACATCTAATCCGTTACCCAGCCCTGCTGCTTCTCCAAAATATGTCACCACTTCTGTCCACTTTTGATACTGTGGTTCAATCTGTGATCATCTCTGATCCAGGTACCTAATCACAACTTATACAATGGGTCTCCCAGCTTCTGCTTTTATTCTCAATACCTTGCCAGATCCATCCACAGAGCAGTGAGATCAGGCATATTTAAAATATGGATCAGATATTAATTCTCTCTCAATGACTATGCTACACTAAGAATAAAAGCCAACTCATACTTTAAGTGAGTGAATTGCATGGCAGGTGAGTTCTATCTCAATAAACCTGTTATGAAATAACTCAGACTCCTCCCTGTGGCCCACAAGGTACATGATCTGGCCCCTCCTCACCTCTTTGACCCCATCTTGTTCAGTTTTTCTCTTATCCTCTCCCAACCACTCTGTCCATCCTTCTGTTCTGCAAACATCCCACAGTTGTTTCTACTTCAGGGTCATTGCAGATACTCTTCCTCCCTGGAATGCTCTTCCCCGTAGCTTTCCCCATGGCATGTTCCTTCTCATTATTCAGGTCTCACCTCAAATGTTATCTCTTCTATCTAAAGTAGCCCCCAAGTCAGCTTCTTATCAGTGGACCTCTTTGATTCTCCTCTTAGCACCTAAATATGCAGAATTATCTTAATAGTTTACATGTGTGTTGTTTGGTTTTTGTTTCTGTCTCACCAGCTCATGACAGTAAGAGTTTATTTTTTACTCTAAACAACAGTGCCTAACGTTTAGGTAAAGGAGTATTTGTTGAAGGAATTATGTGTTGAATCATTTCTGTTGAGCATTTGTGTTGGGCTTATTATATTTCCTGATGTTTTCAACAGAAAGCAAATTTTGTATTCATACTCATTTTAAAAATAAAGGTGAGTCACTGTAATTTTTGAGTCATCTCTGCCTTATTATTTATAAAATGGGATGAGGTGAAGAGGTTAAATTTTACTATTTCTAAGATTTCTTGTAGCTGTAACTTCAAAGTGGAGTATGGGGCCTGATGTAATTGAAATGAGTACTGGGCCGGCCAGCAACTTAGTGGCAAATGGAGGCAAGGACCCAGAGCTTTGTCCTTGGTGCTGCTCAAGCACCAATTTATTGAAAGCTCAAGGTCATCTTTCATCTTTTCCCACCAGTCAACCTGATAATGCCTCCCCAGAAATCTCTCTAAAAGTTCTCCTTGGTTCTAAACCCGTTGTACTGCCTTGGCCAGGTCTACATCAGCCCTCTCCTGGACAAGTCTCCTCTCTGCTTTCAGTCCCCTCTTCCTCTCCTGGATGCCCTTCCAAACACAACATGCTGATCATACTCTTATCACTCAGATGTGACTGGAGACATTCTGATTGGAAATACTTTTTGAATGTCACATAAAAGCTACTAAATAAAAGGCACTTGAGAGGTTTCTTAGGTGGGTTGGCCATGCATGGTTTCCTGGAGGAAGCCACACTTCGAAGCCTGAAACTGGAGGAAGAAAAGATTGACAGAAGTAAGGGAAATGGTGTGTGTGGGTTCAGAGGCAGATCCTAAGTGAAGTTGAAATATTTTAGGCTGTCAAAATGACCTGACTAAGCAGAGTATGATTTGGAGGAGCAGGACGTCCCGGTCAAAGAACCAATGCTGAATTGAACATCCCAGTAAAGACAAAATGGGTGAAATCTCCATCTTTGGAGGTGGAGTGACCTCAAGATGACCTCCAGAAGAATCCCATGAACAACGACTTCCCATTTGGTCACACACCTTGGTTTTCCTTTGAAAAGCTCAGTTCTGCCATGCTCAGCCCATGGAATTTGTATGGTATGGATCCCATCCATCCTAATCTCAGACAATAGGTCCGTGATCCAGTTCCAGGCACATAATCTATCCCTCATGGGCGTAATTCAAAGCTAGTATTCTGTTTCAACCCCAACTAGTGTAGTGTACTGCCCAGAGTTAGCCTAGACCCCACAAGTTAAGGGCTCACTCCTCCACAAGAGTGCTCCCACTTCAGATGCCAGCTGCAAGAGGGATTCCCCCAGCCATCTGCACTTCTAACTAGCTGGCTTCAAATCTGGGAGTTGGATAATCCTCCTCACACTTGATAACTTGCTAGAATAACTCACAGAATGCAGGAAAGCACTATATTTACTATTACAGTTTTATAATAAAGGATACAAGTCAGAAACAGCCAAATGAAGATATACATAGGTTGAAATGTGGGAGGGGCCAGATGGAGAGCTTCCATGCCCTCTCCCCATGGAATCAGGGCATACCCCTCTCCCAGCACATCAATGTATTTAACCAGGAAGGCCTACTGAGCTTCAGTGTCCAGAGTTTTTATTGGGGCCTCATTATGTAGGTATGGTTGATTAAATCCTTGCCATGTCACTGAACCGGATCTCCAGGCCCCCTCCTTTCCCTGGAAGTCAAACTGGCTCAAAATTTCAACCCTCTTATCACAAGGTTAATCTTTCTGGTGCCCAGCCCTCATCCTGAAGCTATCCAAGGGCTTGCCATTTAGTCGCCCCTAGCAAAAATTCAAGTGTGATCTAAGGGGCTCATGAATAACACATTTTTGTTATTCAGTAAAGTCCAAGTATTTAAAGTCTTAGTGCCAGGAACGTGGGACAAAGGCCAGAAAGCTTCATTATACAACACAGAGTCATTGGGTGACCCAAGTTGAGCTAATGAGACTCAATCCTATTGCATTTTCTGGAACTATTGAGACAGCTATTATTTTTTTCTGCTAGGATTGTTAAGCTGGTAGAATGTAAGCCTGAGCTGTTGGTGGCCATCTTGCTACCTATGAATGGCAACCTGTTTGGGAATGAAGACAGTCCAGAGGAAAACAGAGCTAAGAGAATGAGACCAAGTTTAAATGGACACATTGTTTGAACCATTGGCTCCAGCCATACCTGAAGTCATTTTACCTCTGATTTTTCAGTTCTGTGAACCAATAAACTCCAGCTTTCTTTCATGTTTAAATTACCTTAAACTGGGGGAAGAGGGAGGTTCTATTACTTGTAGCTGAAAGCATCCTGAGTATTACATCCCCTGTTCCTGACAAAGAATTTTTTTTCCCATTCATATTAATACCCGGGCCCTGGATCCCATCCTTCCAACCTTCCCCAAACCTCACTCTTTTCATTGCCATCATTTCTACTGGCTCCCTTCCTCTTAGACTTCCAACTTAATCAGGTCTCCCTCAGGAGGGCTCCCAACTCTCCTCCTTCCACCTCTTCATCTTCTGTTCATCCCTCAGTCCACTACCATTTGGCTTCTGCTTTCACCACTCCTTTAGAATTACTCTCAGCAAAGTCACTAAGCAAACTGAGTTATCAGTGTTTTCTATAGGAGACAGTGGCAGTGCCATAGATTCCTTTTTATCATGTTTTTTGTGGTGTGTTTGCCCAACTCCTCCACTTTGCCCCCACCACACACTAAACTCCCATAACCCCCGGTCTTTAGTGTGTGGTTACTCTTCCAATAGTTAGAACTTCCAGATTCTTTCTTTTTTAAAAAGAATCTCCTCAGGCTACTGGAGGCTATGCCTTGATGAAATGCCTCAGAATTGACATCTAGGGGTAGCCCTTAGTCAACAGCTGAGAGGTGTTGGTATATGAAAGGGCCAGCTCCTTTCCAGACAAACCTGAGGCATAACTAACATCCAAAGCTCCCCTGTGAGTTCAAGCTGAACTACTCTTGTCTAAAATCATACATTTGCTTGGTTTCCTCTCCTTCTTGCTCCTGCTTCTCCTGATAGCACTTTTAAAATAAATCACTCACACACAAAATCCTCATCTCAGGGTCTTCTTGGAAATCTGACCTGAGACATCATCTCAGCACTTTCTACTCCTCTTTCCTTGCCTACCTGTTAAATGTAGCTTTTCCCCAGAATTAGGTCCTGGGTCCTCTTCTCTCTACATATATTACCTGGACAATCTCATTGATGTCCATGGCTTCAATCACTACTTATATCTGATCACTACCAAACTGCATCGTGCAGCTTAGAATGTTCATCCATTGCTGCTGGACAGCTCCACTTAGTTGTCTATGGATACCTCTAGCATTGTCCAATTCAGGAGTCAATAGCTACATGTGGCTCTTTCAGTTTTAATTAATTAAAATTAAAACTTCAGTTCCTTAGTCCACTAGCCACATTTCAAGTACTCAATAGCTGCATGTGGCTAGTGGCTACCACATTAGACAGTGCCAATATGGAACATTCCAGTTATTGCAGTTAAGTTTTATTGGACACCTTAAACACGACATTTTCAAATATAACACATTATCACAAGCCCTTGCCTTTCTGTATTCCTCAACTGTTGTCTTTCTCCTAGACAACTACAGAAAAAGGAGGTATAAGGATATCAGTAAGGAGGAAGGTGACCACAGAATTACAGTCCTTTTCATTGACATCTTCCTCTGAAACATGGTTGGTAAAGATGGTGATGAAGAATTTAACAAAGGCCATGTGTAAGCGGATGTTAGTTTGGTTAGTGTAGGGGTAGACCTGGGGGACTAAGGCAGAATAGACCAGAACTTCCCCTTTCACAATGAATTTTTCCAACTCCATCCAGCAGCCTCTGCCTTGAACGAACATTCTTGTGAGAATCAGGGCATTTATCCATTTCCAATTTCTTCAGTCACTTGCCTTTGTGTTCCAGTTTTGGAAAATTTATTTCAAGTCTCAGAAAAGAGGTATGCTTCTTGTTGCTATTAAGTTTGGAGCTATGTAAAGCCATTTCACCACTAAGAGAGGACAGTGTGCCTGTGAAGCCAAATGCATAGGGAAAGTGAGCCTAGAAAAGGTGAACGACAGGTTCCTGTTATCTTTTGGCCCTTTAATTTAGCAGTTCCTGAAGATGCTTGATCCATTCTTTTAAATGGCTAGACTCAATATATTCCCATATTGCTCAGGCCAGTTGGGGCTGGGTCAGAAAGAAACCCAAACGATAGAGGATTTCATTGTGCTCATGATTTCAACTGCCCTCTGTATATTAATGATTCTCAATTTCTGTATCTGACCTTCATGTCTCTCTTGAACTCCATGTCCACCTGGCTCCTGATGTCCCACAAGCACATCATTATTTCTGTGCCCCATCTTTATTTCGTGTCTCAAAGATGGAACCTCCTCGGCTCTCCAGTCCCATTCCTCAGAGAAGTCAAGGTCATAAATTCAAGCTCGGCCTCTTCGCGGGGCCGTACCAAGGTCACCCTGCTTCTTCCAGCACCCAACTCCTTGGGGGCAGTGTCCGCGAACCCCTAGGCTGCAGGGCCAGGCTCTCTAGGCTGCAGCGGGCCTTCACAGAGCTTTCTCTTCTCGCTGGTTTCCGGTACCCGGTGGCTACTCTAGCCTATTCAACAGGGTCTCAGGACTCTATCCCCTAAGACGCCTCCCTACGATTGACTTAAACGCTTTGTTCCGAATTTCCTCTGGGAGAACACTGGTGGGATCCAACCCCTTCCTACACATGCTTCTGCGGTCCCTTTTGGGTGCAACTGGAGAAGTCCCTGAACCCTCCAAAAGTAACACCCGCGCAGCTCTAGAAAGGTTGCGCGGACTAGGAGGATGGCGGAAGTCGGGCGGGGGTGGGGGTGGAGGTGAAGGTGTCCTCCCCTCTCGCCACTCTTCTCTATGGTCGCTTCCTTCGGTGACGGGAAAAAGGGTCCCGGCGCCTGCGCAGAATCCGCTGGGAGCTAGACACGGAGGGAGCGGGGAGAGGGGGGCGGGGAGCGGGAGCTGCCGCCGCCGCCGCCGCCGGAGCTAACCGTGGGGACCGAGATGCAGGTGGGACCGGAACCGGAACCCTCCTCTTCAAGTACCTCTTCCCTCTCCGCGATTCGGTCCCGGCGCCTGAGAGGAGCCCTGGGTGGGGGCGGGGGCCAGAGGCAGGAGGACGATTGGCCCCGGAGAGTGCTGCAGACAGAGCAGGTCCCCAGGAGACTGCGGCCCCAAGGAATGGGCGGGTAGAGCGTGTGCAGGGAGTAGGGTCAGGTCAGAGTGGATTGACCACCGGGCCCGGAGGGTCCGAGCCAAGAGCGGAGCCTGCACCCTCCACCACCTGCCCTTCGGGAAGTATCACAACTGAGCCAAGAGGCAGGTGCACCGGGAAAATGTGTCTGAGTCCTGCTTGGCAGAAGAGAAACTGAGACACCAGCTCAGGAGCCGCAGGGTCAGCGGGCCTGAAGGGGGCTGGTCTGCCGGTGGTGCAGAGGGTTGGGTGGGCCTGTGTGAGCTGAGGTGGCCTCTGCCTGGAGATTGGGTTCTCTGCTGTGTCTGCACCTCTTGGCTCTGTTCCCCTGTGCTCCATGACTCTTGCATCTCCTGGCTTCTTCTCGTTGGTTTGGAATTGTCCCTGTGGTTGGAGCCATCTGAATGTGTAGGGCCTGGGCCAAGGAAGAAGGGGAGGGGTCTGGGACTGGGTCAGAGCAGGAGTCTGAGGTTTGGGGAGACTTTTCTGAGCTGCATTCCCCCAGTCCTGGCGCCAGTCATTTTCCAATATAATATGGGGGAGGAACACTAACAAAAGAGCCATGGGTTGTAAATTACATACTCAGTTCTGCTACTCGCTAGCTGCAAGACCTTGGTAATTCTCTTCCATTCTCTAATTTCTCTTTTAGAAAATTGGAACCCATAAAGATAGTAATAATGGCAGTCATTGTGTGCTTACTTTCTATCAAGCACTAACATGTTCCATTTAATTCTCCTAACAGTTCTAGAAGTTAGAGATGATTAGCTCTGTTCTATAGGTACAAAAACTGAAGCTCAGAGAGTATATATAATTTGTTCAAGATCATCCCAAGTCTGACTGCAGAACCCATAGCCTTAACCAGCAGGCTAACCAGCCTTTGGGGCACACTCCCCACTGAGAGAAGAAGGAGGTGAAAAATCCTAGGGCGTCAGCTCCCTGTTTTATTTACTTTGTGGCAGCAAAGACCTGCCCTGACCCAGTGCAGTCTTCCCCCATGTGGTGCTGCTGCCTCTGGGCACCAGACTCAAGGTGCACCAAAGAAGTGGGCTGTTGCCATTTCAAGCCTCCTTCATACAGTTCTTAGGCCTGGGGTCAGCTTTCAAGACAATCTGTCGTCCATCCATCTATCCATCCTTAATGAGCAACCTCCCTCCTCAGCTGGACCTCAGGATTCCTGAGGCAGGGCTGAAAGCTCTGCAGACCTAGCTCCCCTGAGAGTTGGGGCAGTGAGGGGCTATGACTAAGCCTGGTCCAGCAAGTCCCTGGGGGCAAGGCCTGCAGTGGGAAAAACAGTAATCAGAGTTCTGACTTTTCTGAGCTTTGGTTTTCTCATCTCATAGAGGTTACTAAAACCTCTCACAGGGAAAGGTAAGAACAGCACGTGGGAATCATGTAATAAATACCAAAGGCTCTCTTGTAGGGAAGGGAGGTGACACTGTGAAAAAAGATTATTTTGGGGAGGAAGGTACTCCACAGCCGGCTGTCACTCCTGGAGCCCAAGTCAGGGAAAGTGCGTTGGGACAGGTGCAGGCTATACGCTGGGGAGCCAGTTGACTGGGGCTGTGGGTGCAAGGGCCTGGGGTAGGGAAGGGAGGCAGTTTGGTGTTCTTCCCATTGCTCTCTGAGGGGTCTAGACCAGAGTAGGGAGTCAGACTCGGGGTGGGGCTCTGCCCCCAGTCCCACCTCAGCAGTGACTTGGTGTATGTGCCTCTCTTCCTTCTGCAGCTGCTGCCGCTCACCCCGTGTCTTCTGGCTGCTTCCCTCTTTGCTGCCCCTCCCCACAGGCTCCCCCTCTCCACCTCCTGGGGACCATCATGAATGGTGCCCCTTCCCCGGAGGATGGGGCCTCTCCTTCTCCTCCCCCCTTGCCACCACCCCCTCCACCTAGTTGGCGGGAGTTCTGTGAGTCCCATGCCCGTGCTGCTGCCCTGGATTTTGCCCGCCGTTTTCGCCTTTACCTGGCCTCCCACCCCCAATATGCAGGGCCCGGGGCTGAGGCTGCCTTCTCCCGCCGATTTGCTGAGCTCTTCCTGCAGCACTTTGAAGCTGAAGTGGCCCGAGCCTCCGGTTCCCTCTCGCCACCCATCCTGGCTCCTCTGAGTCCCGGTGTGGAGATCCTGTCCCATGACCTGTCCCTTGAGAGCTGCAGGGTGGGCGGGCCCCTGGCTGTGCTGGGCCCTTCTCAATCATCTGAGGGCCTGGCCGGCCCCCTCCCTTCCTCAGTCTCTTCCTCCTCTACGACCTCCTCGAAGCCGAAGCTAAAGAAACGCTTCTCCCTCCGCTCAGTGGGTCGCTCTGTGCGTGGTTCAGTCCGTGGCATCCTACAGTGGCGGGGGACTGTTGACCCTCCCTCCCCATCTGGGCCCCTAGAGACCTCATCAGGCCCCCCAATCCTAGGTGGAAACAGCAACTCCAACTCGTCTGGTGGGGCTGGGACCATTGGCAGGGGACTGGCTAATGATGGAACATCCCCGGGGGACCGATGGACTCATCGTTTTGAGAGGCTGAGACTCAGTCGGGGAGGGGGGACCATGAAGGATGGAGCAGGGATGGTGCAGAGGGAAGAGCTGCTGAGTTTCATGGGGGCTGAAGAGGCAGCCCCTGACCCCGCTGGCGTGGGCTGGGGAGGAGGGGCAGCTGGGCCTACCTCAGGGGAAGGAGGGCAGCCTCAGTGGCAGAAGTGTCGCTTACTACTTCGATGTGAAGGAGAAGGAGGAGGTGGAAGCCATCTGGAGTTCTTTGTACCACCCAAGGTAAGCCCAGAGGAGGCGGGGAGGCTGGGAGGGAGGGCATGAGCAGCTAGAGCTGCAACTCAGCCCACAGGCAGAACTTTGCTTTCTTTGGTTTGTAAAGCTAGCTCCTGACTGTGTTAGTAGCTGTGAACACGACTGGAAAAGTAGTGTTGTTATCTTTTGTCTAACGCCCTTAGGGTATAGAAGGAAAAAATGTTCTCTAGAGGGAAGGGAAGGATGGTCTCTGCCCACCAAAGATCTGGCTCTTGTTCTTTCTCCCAACCTAGGCATCTCGGCCTCGACTCAGCATTCCCTGCTCTACCATCATGGATGTTCGGACAACCACAGCCCTGGAGATGCCTGACCGGGAGAACACGTTTGTGGTTAAGGTAGAAGCTCTGGGCTTCCCTGCCCCCATGGAGCACCTGTGCTGGGGAGGAAGCTCTTAGCACATTAAACAAGGGACACTGGTGGAAGAAGGTGCATGTACATCAAGGGCCTTGAGCGTGTTTCCCTGGGGCCACACTTTTCTGGGAGGAGGGGAGAGGAGAAGGATGTTTTTGTTCTCATTAGGGGTGGAGTAAGGCCTGAGGACCTGGAATTGACCTGTGTGCCTCCTCTTGTCCATGTAGGTAGAAGGCCCCTCGGAGTATATCCTGGAGGCAGCTGATGCTCTACATGTGAAGGCCTGGGTGTCTGACATCCAGGAATGCCTGAGCCCAGGGTGAGGAGCCTGACTTCTGTCACTGAGGGACTGGGGTTGGGGATGGAGAGCAGCCACTTGCCTCTTACCTGGTGACTTTCCTCCCAGCACCATTTTCCCTGTCTCTGCAGACCCTGCTCTGCTACCAGTCCCCGCCCCATGACCCTCCCTCTGGCCCCTGGAACCTCATTCCATACAGACAGCCTGGAGCTGCCCTGCCTGAACCACTCAGAGAGTCTGCCCAGCCAGGATCTGTTGCTGGGACCCAGTGAGAGCAACGACCGCCTGTCACAGGGTAAGGGTGGAGCTTGGAGCTTTAGAGAGCTGTGAACTTCAGAACTGGCCATGCAAGACCCTTTGCTATCAGGCCCAGGCTCTCTCTCCAGATTCTGCTGTGTACCCCATTCCTGCTGCTCATCTGCCCACTGAGACCCACCAAATGTTTGTCTTTTGTCCCTGAACATGCCAGACCACAGTTTGCCATTTAGAACCATAATTACCACCTCACACAAACCCCAAGCATTCTCCTATACAACCTATGCCCAGCTTTGTTACCTGTTCCATAAGCCATGTGCAGACCATCACTCTAGCTGGAGATAATGGTTCTGTTCTCCCAGCTTCTACAACACTTTATATACATCTTTGTTTTGCTCTTATTCTGTATCTCTGCATATGCTGATGATACCAGATTTTCTTTTGTGCCTCTGTACTTCTTGGCTTGACTGAACACGCATATACCCTACCCACACAAAAACACCCAAAGACGTGCATCTCCCTAGCCACACTAACCTTTCTAGACTCCACTGCACCCTTTCCTTCTGAGCCCCATTCTGAGTTGCAGTTTCACAGTGTCTAGCACACAAGCTGTATTCAACAAGCAAACCAATGAATTAAAGAATCTTAGAACTAGAATAGACCTTGCAAGTCAACAGTTCCAATCCCCTCCTTTCTCAGACAGCTAAGACCAGGGAGGGGAAATGGCTTTTCTGAGGTGACCTGAGAGTCGCCGACAAAGACAGGGGCTGTACCAGTACCTGAGCCACTGCTCTTTGTACTACACATACACCTGTCTTCTGAGTACTGTCAATGTACAACATCCCTGTGGGCTCGGCAGATATTCAGGAGCACCACAGTACGTAACTGACACTGTGCTAGGCTCTGGGGCAGTGAGGGAGGACCCCAGAGATGCCTGAGATGAGCTTTGTGCCCTCTGTGTGCTCATAGTCCAGCTGAGTTGACATCCATCTGTTCGATGGAGAGCGTGTGCTTAGTGTCCTCTGAGCAGCACAGCTAGGAAGGGCTGTGGGAGCTCAGAGGAAGAAGAGAAGGTGAGAGAAAAGACCTGGCTTGGAGAAAGTAAATGGCGAGAGCAGAGCCTGAGATGGGGAGAAGCCAGGATATCTGGAAAAACAGGACGTGGTCATTGGTCTAAAGTGGGAGATACATGAATTCAAGTTAGTGTGAAGATCAGGTTGGCTTGTTTGGGGGATGAATAGAAAGATCTTTGATGCCACTGAGAGTTGGGGCCTTTGTCCTATGGGCCAAAAACAGACCCTTTCTGATGTGAAACAATCTGAGGAATTCTACCACCCATCTGTGCAACAATGGCTGTAATTTTGTTAATTCAGAGAAGATACAGGTACATTTGGATTGTAGGACTTGTAATAACTGCAATCCCTAAACAGTGTTGAAGCATAAAATAGGAACTGCTGGTAAGAACCACCGGGGTCACTGCCTGAAGAAGGATCCAGCATTTCCACCAGCTGACACTGCCAGTACACCAGGGTAGGCTGGATGGATGGATGGGTAGCTGGACCCAGGCCAACCAGTCCTGCCAAAGAGCAGCTTCTCGCATTTTCAACCTTGCTCTCCTCCCTTTTTTTCCAGGGGCATATGGGGGTCTTTCAGACCGCCCGTTGGCCTCCATCTCCCCCAGTTCTGCCTCCATCGCTGCCTCCCATTTTGATTCAATGGAACTGCTTCCCCCAGAGTTACCCCCCCGCATCCCCATTGAAGAGGGACCCCCAACAGGGACAGTTCATTCCCTCTCAGCACCCTACCCACCCCTGGATACTCCGGAAACAGCCACAGGTACCAGAGGTGAGAATTTGTGTCCTCCTCCAGGCCTGGTTGCCCACCTTCCTGAAACCTTTGTCTTGGGATCCTGAGGGATCTGACCTGGGGGGCAGGGGTGGAGAGGAGTGATGTGAGGGGAAAGAAAGGCTTTTCTTCTCCCTGACACCCCGGTTTCCCTCCCTCTCTCCTGAAGGTTCATTCCTGTTCCAGGGGGAGTTGGAGGGAGGTGAGGGGGACCAACCCCTCTCAGGGTATCCTTGGTTCCACGGGATGCTCTCTCGACTCAAGGCGGCCCAGCTAGTGCTGGCTGGAGGCACTGGTTCCCATGGTGTTTTCCTGGTACGTCAGAGTGAGACGAGGCGGGGTGAATATGTCCTCACTTTCAACTTCCAGGGCAAGGCCAAGGTGAGTGACAGGAAAAGACTGTTCTGCACAGTGAGCTTGTGGGTGGAGTTCAGAACACTGCTGTTCAGTGAGAAGGGCTCTGTGGTCGGCAGAAGCTTGGGCTACCACCTCACCTTTCTCATCTTGCCCTCAGCACCTGCGTCTGTCACTGAATGAGGAGGGTCAATGCCGGGTCCAGCACCTGTGGTTCCAGTCCATTTTCGATATGCTCGAGCACTTCCGGGTGCACCCCATCCCTCTGGAGTCTGGAGGCTCCAGTGATGTTGTCCTTGTCAGCTATGTTGTATCCTCCCAGCGACAGCAGGGTGAGCAGAGCAGGTCTGCAGGGGAGGAGGTGCCCATGCACCCAAGAAGTGAGGAGGTGTGTGTGCCAGAAAGATGGGGAGGGGGGCGCTGAGGAGGAGAGGCTTTATCAGGGAGAATAGGGTAGGGAAACTTTCTTTGTGTTGGGGTTTTGAGGAAAAGGACACTGAGAGAATGTAGGAAGTCAGAGGGCTCCTTGCTGGAGCTCGGGAAGAAGCTGAGATTGGGTTGGTGCATTCCCATTCCATTGGACTCCTCTGTTCCATCGTTTGTCTGTCTCCTAGGTCCATCTTCTTGGCCTTGTCTTTGCCCTTTGTCACAACCTTGCCTTGGGCCTGCCCTTCTTGGGGATGCTCAGTCTGATCCCCTCCCTTGTCCATTGGTGTCTGATGTCGCTGTCTGATCTCTCCCTCTTCCCAATCCCAACGTCCCATCTGTCCCCACGTTGCCCCTCCCCACCCCCAGGCCGGGAGCAGGCCGGGAGCCATGCAGGGGTGTGCGAGGGAGATCGATGCTATCCCGATGCCTCTTCCACCCTCGTGCCCTTCGGAGCGAGTGACTGTGTGTAAGTGTGGTCCTTCTCTCACCGCCGCCCATGATTCATCTTCCATGGGTGGGGGTTGCTCAGGAGAGGGGATGTGGGGGAGATAGCACATGGCTCCTGGGGGGATGAGTGAATGGGAGGCCACTGCAAGAGCTTGCCTCCCTCCACAACCAGACCATCTTTTTACCATTCTTGTCCAGAACCGAACACCTCCCATGACCCACCCCAGCCCCCTGAACCCCCTTCATGGACAGATGCCCCATATCCTGGGGCAGAAGAGGCATCGGGGGCACCAAAAGTGGTGGCAGCAACCTCTGCAGCAGCCAAAGAGAGGGAAGAGAAAGAGAAAGCGGGCAGTGGAGGGGTCCAGGAAGAGCTGGTCCCCGTGGTTGAGCTGGTCCCCGTGGTTGAATTGGAAGAGGCCATAGCACCAGTCGCCGAGACCCAGGGAGGCGCTGGATCTGACAGGGACCCCGGGGCCACCCCAATGGTGCAGCTTCAGCAGTTACCACTAGGGGGTGATGGAGAGGAAGGGGGCCATCCCAGAGCCATTAATAACCAGTACTCCTTCGTATGAGACATCTTCCCCACCCCTTTCCACTCTTCTTGCTCCCCAGCCCTCAGCTGGTAGGATTTGGGCTGGGCAGGGACATAGAGGAGCAGTAGGAATCCTCCCCACATGCTTCCTGACCCTTGTTGGCCAAGGGCATATATACTGGTACAAGAAGAGGTTCAAGAGCCCTGGTGACTCCCCAGTTTGTACACTACATGTGCCCCATCCCCTGGGCAGGGGATTGGGCTCCATTACCTCCCCGAGGGGCTCTTATGGTCAGCCCCAGTCCTGGGGGCCATTTCCCCATTACCCACCCCCGAGCCCAAGGAAGGGTGAGGGGGAAAGGGCTGCCAGTTACATTAGGGTGGTGGTGGTGGTGGTGGTTTTAAACAAAATGGAAAAGCATAAATAAATAAAGGGTTTGTCTAAGTTCCACTGTGGTGGCTGTGGCCAATGTTTGCATCAGGGTTGGGACAGGCAGGTCAGAAAGGCAGCCCCCTCAGTGTTGTGTTCTCCAGGGCTGAGAGGCCGGGACTGGGGTCAGCTCGAGTCCTGTGCCCATCACTCCTCTGTGGGCTGTCCTGTTTGTTGAGCGGGAGGTGCAGAGTCAAACTGCTTCTCAGGATCTCCAGCCAAGTTCCCTTAATGGGACAGAACAGTGAACAGCAAGATTGACAAATCTCCAAGGAGCTTTCTTATTCTGAATTTTTCAATTAAGGCTTCTCTACCATAGGGAGAAAGGCAGAGAGAAATCATGGGTGCAGGGCTGGGGGCACATGTCTATGTTGGGAGAGATTTAATGTGGCAGCCACAGAGTCTGCAGAGGGACCCAAAGGCAAGATGCCCGCCCCTCTTCTCTGAGCCAGGCTGGGAATCTGGAGGATAGATGACGAAGAGTGCTGCTGGCTTCCACTCCTGGCTTTGCCTCTCATTTGCTATGTGGCCTGGGCAAGGTGTAGCCTTCTCCAGGCCTCAGTATCCTCATCTCCAAAATGGAAAGTTTTATCTAGACCGGGACTACTGGCATGATTTTCTTGGCCTGGATGTTTCCATTGGGACTTCACATGGAAGTTCAGATTACTGGCTTCCCTTGAAAATTAGAAGATACAGTCTCACGTGGTCCACCTTCCACATCTCCATCCCACCAGCTCACTTCACTCGTGACACACCTAGCCCTGTGGACATTTGACTTTGCAACATCTCCCCCTTCTCTGAGTGTCTCCCCTCCCTCTATTAAGCCCACTCTGCCCTCTGAACTGAACTGTGCCTTTCTCCAATGGAGGGCATCCCTGGGCTTCTCAGGTCTGTGAGTGGTGCGTGCCAACAAGGAGCGACCAGGTTCTGAAGAATCGCATATATTTTGCTCTGCTCTGCCCTACTCACCTCCATTCAGCTTTGCCTACCATTCTGCCTCTCATTTGTCCTCCCAGGCAGCATGGAGCCTACATTCTCATGCCCCTCAGCTTCTGTCGCCACCTCCAGGAGGCCCTACCCATGCTTATGACCTTGTTATTCTGGGCCTTGTGTCCTGTTGGGAGATGGACAGGAGACAGCTGGGCTCATAGGCCACCCAGACAGTGGGCTAGCTGGGAGAAGCCTGCTGGCTCTCCCAGTTTTGTCTAATCCTTGGGGCTCCCCCAAACCTTGGCCTTAGGAGACTGGAGATAGAATTGGCTTTGTAAAGGGGGGATGGTTTGGGGATCTGGGTGCTGGGTTCTCGAAATGAGACGATCACTGAAGGCTTTGGTGCCCCATGGTAAGCAGGCACTGATCCTCTCCTAATCTAGCAGCAACTGTTGCTGTGAGACTCCCTTTTCCCCTAAACCCTGCCAGCCTTTGGGGACTTGCCTTCTGAAGATGGATGGGGTGGGGGTTACAAGGGCATCACCACACCCACCCCAAGATATGTATGTCTTGGCTGGAGGAGCTAAGAGACTTTCCCACTAAGCCTTTCTTTGTGGATAGCTCAGCTGAAGTTTGGAACTGGTCAGGGACTGGCTAGGCTCTGTCTCCATGTCCTTCAGAAGTAGGCCTCTCCCATTCTCAGCTTCAATCTTCAGGAAGAGGCCAACACCTTCCAATTCTGGGCTTGGAGAACCCCAGTGCGGGGGATCCCAGGGTGCCAGTGTCTTATCGCTGGGTCTTCCTCCATCCTGAGTTACATACCCAGCCTCCCTGATGGTGATCCTTTTGCAGCTCTTGGCTGGTAGCTTTCCCCTGTCTGGCTTTAGTTTCCTCCTCTGGGAGATTGGGGGAGGTAGAAATGAATAACCTTAAAGCGCTCTGTTGGCAGCAGTGTTCTGTAAAGCCTACCTCCTTTCTTTGGACTCTCACTCTCAGCTCGCATGAAGCCGCATCACTCCAGCCCCTTCTTCATGTTTGGGCATTCCTGCTCCTTTAAGACAGTGCCCCTGTCACTCCTCCAGGTGGTGGCGCAGAGAAGCCAGCCAACACCAAAAGGCTTGGCACATGCTGAGCCTGGCTGTGGCCTAAGAAGGTGGGTTCTGGGCCAGGTGGAGGTACCTGTCTATGAGACCCCCAAAACTCATGCCCCATTGTCTGAGGGCCCCCATCACAGCAGGATTCTGCTTCAAGGGAGGGTTTTGTTGGAACCATGAAAAGAGAACAGGAAGGAGCACTGTGTCCTCAACTCACCCAGGAGGCTGCCTCCCCAAAGTCCAGGCAGAGGAAGGGATGAGTATGGGAGCTAAATCCAGGTCATGGCCTACCTACTCCCCCAAAACTGGGGCTCCCCTTTCCTTTGTCCTGCCATCTCCCATGCCATTGTCTGCTTAGGAACTTGAGCACCAGAGAGGAAAGAAGCCTTGAGAATCCTTTCAGTGGCCTGTACTCCTCACTGTTTAAGTCAGGAAATGGGCCTAGCAGGGGAGAACTTAAGCCAGGGTCGTGAGGCCCGTTCCCTCGCTGACATTTCACTGTTACTTTTACTGAAGTGCTCTCTGCCCTCCTTTCCTCCCCTGTTGATGCCCCATGCTCCCCTCTTTCTGCTTCTTCAGCAGCTGCCCTGGTAGCAACTAAAAGGTACCCCCATCCAGAGCAGGGGTAGTGGTGGGGGACTCAGAGCAGTTGCTTCTCTGAGGAAGCTAACACTAAGGCCAGCCACTCAACGACAACTTGTGACTTTGCATCCACCCCTGGGCCCCCACCAACCTGGCTGCAGATGCCAGCTCCCTCCTGTTCCTTTTCTCCATTGCTCCTCAGACTTCCCTCTGACCCTGGCAGCCCTGTCTCTGCTTCCGCAGCTCTATCCTGTCCTTATTTCCTCTAGACCTGTCCCATCAATCTGCCCCCTCTCCATTCCTCTGGTCTGGAACCTATGTTTTACCCAGCTTCCCCAGGCCCTTTTCCTTGACACCCTTTCTCTTATGGTTCTTCCAGTGGGCTACACACAGTACCTGAGCACACAGCTCTGACCCTCGTTCCCCTTGAGAATAGATACTTCAGGGCTAGGATGGCATGTGGACTACATGCCATCTGGGGGTCTGCCATGTAAACCCCTTGTGTTAAAGAGAGCATAGTGTGGGATGAGGTGGCCTTCATTCCATGACTTGGGGTGACTCCCACCCCCATCCCAAAACATTTATCTCTCCCCCTCTGCCATCAGCACATTCTGTAGTCTCTTGGATTACCTGGCTACATGGGTATCCCATTTTCTTGAGGGGGTGGGAGATTCCCTGTCAGGGATGGGGGGCTCTGAAGGCTACGTTACCAGAGGCTGAGTTAGAGCCATGGGGAAGGGGAAGTTTAGGGAAGAGACAGGCAGTCCTGGCTTTGCTTACCAGGGCCTGGACACTAAATCCCTTGTTGATGGCTGCAGCAACCCCTCCCTAGGGTAGGGTTACCATCTACTGCCCTGCCCCTTTGACCCTCACCCCTCCTACTTCCCCTTGTCCCTTTAGAGCCACTTCCCCTGGCCCCCAAGGATGTTCTCTCCCTCTTTAATCCTCTGAAGGTTGGAATCTCCTGTCTTTCAACAAACTAGGTGAGGGAGAAGGAGACTGTGGCAACAGAACAGGTTCAGACTGGATGAGACTGGACTGTGGGTGTGAAGAAAGTGAAATGTGGAGCCTGGGAGTAGACCAAGGCTTAAGGGAAGAGGTGGGGGTGAGTTTGTATTAGAAAATGCAGTGCAACTGGGAAGTCAAGGCAATTGGGGGAGTGGTCACAAGCAGAAGACAGAAAGTGAAGTCTGTCCTCACCACCCCCCTTCCTGCTGGGGCTTGGGCCACCTTAGCTTCCTTCATGAGTGACATCTCAGGCTGCAGCCCCACTGTTCCCCCTCTGTCAGCAGAAATATCTCTCTCTTCTGACCCCTCCTGCCAGAGTCTTAGCCAGCCAATCCCTGATCTGGGTGAGGGGGGAGCCTGGCCTCCCTTACTCCCTCATAAGGACTGGCTGGGGGGGTGGCTGGCTGCTGCAAGTGGGACGGGGGTCAGAGCTTCTTGAAGGGAAGAAAAATTGTGGGGGGGGCAGGAGAGAAAAAGGAAGAAACCCAAACAGGCAGGAGGACACACTAAGGAAGGCCCCCCACACGTGAGAACCCCCCAGAAGAAATACACCACCCCCTGGTCCCCAGGAAGGGTGCACAATGGAGGCTTCACACTCCAAGACCACAGAAGAATGTTTGGCCTATTTTGGGGTGAGCGAGACTACAGGCCTGACCCCGGACCAAGTTAAGCGGAATCTGGAGAAATATGGCCCCAATGGTAAGTGTCCTCTGGAGGAAAAGCTGGCAAAGCCCTCTTGCACCCCCACAACACACACACACACACACACACACACACGAGCCTCTCCTTCTAGGGTATCTTAGGGAAGGGTTGGGCCTTAGTTCAGTGACTGCAGTGGGGATGAGGATACTGAGAAAACTGTCCCTCAGACCCATAGTTTTGGGAGGTTTGATGGGGCAATCTTGATGAACCTTAGATACCCTTTTGGTGGGTTGATTCTCTTACTATAGCCACAAAGTCCTGGGTGTAGGGAGCACTAGACTGAACCCTAAATGAATATGAATATGTCTTTTTTTTTCTTTTTCTCTGGGTAGAGCTCCCTGCTGAGGAAGGTAAGTTACTGGATTCCCTGAGCTCTCATAAATGAACCCCCTCCACTGTGTGCCACTCCTTTCTCCCTTCCTTCTCCCCACTGACTCCTGGGCAAAATCCTTCTCCCAAAGTTAGAGGCTGGGGAGCGGAAGTTTCCAGGCACTCTCTTGAGAGGCATCTGGCCTTTGGACAACTACCTACTGCTTTGAGAAGCCTGTTTTTGGACTCCTGGCGGGCTCTCTCAGCCCTTCTCTCAATACCAAGTGGTCTGCTCATCACCCCAAAATCTTCCTGCTCCAAGCTGGAAGCCTGGGCATTCAGTCCCTGGTCCCCAGGCTGTACCTTGAGTCCCAGCCATTCATTCCTAGACCTTAACCGGGAGCCCCTCCCCTTGCCTCTTCCCCCAGGGAAGTCCCTGTGGGAGCTGGTGTTAGAGCAGTTTGAGGACCTCCTGGTGCGGATCCTCCTCCTGGCTGCCTGCATTTCCTTTGTAAGTGTGGGAAGGTATCTGGGAGCTGGCTGGGAGTGTCGGTTGGGGGAATCTGGAGAGTCTGCTGGCGGGGCCTGGGGGCGGGCTTGGTATCATCGGCACCTCTAGTTCAAGCCTTCAGCATCCTATTCTACAGACCAGAACTGAGGGAGGTGGGAGAACGCAAATTTGTGTACTCCTCTGTCCTCCCCCACACCCTGTAGGCAGGTTTTATTTTAAGCTTTAAGGGTGTTCTCAGCCCAAACACTGAAGCTAAACCACCCCCGCAGCTTCAAGGGCTTCGAGGGCTCGGGTTACCCACCCCCAGCAAAGGGCAGCCCAGCACAGACCCACTACTCCCGGCATGCCCAGTGGTGCACATGCTGCTCCACCAATTCCAGAGCATTCTGAGGCCCCGGCCCCGCCCTCCTGACGCTGATTGGTCGAGGCAAAGACTCCTTCCTGGAGGCTGGAAAGAGCTGCTAGTGTGAGGGTGACTCCAGGAGCACCTGGAGGCCCAGCCCCCTCACCTGTCTCCAGCCTCGCCTCCCCGACCCCATCATGGCTGTAACTCCTCGGATCCCCTCCTCATCCACCTGGCCAGACCTTCCCTGCCCTCCCCAGTCCCTCACAGCCCCACTGCCTTCTCAAAGCCCTGCCACCTCTCCTGCCCTGAGGCTCCCCTCAGCACTTACCATCCCAGTAATCCATCCTGCATGTTGGAATTTCTTCCTTAGCGTCTTAGTCCTACTGGAATTCAATCAAGAGACAGAAGTGTCCCTGTTCCCTATCTGCCTGATGGAGGCCCTGTGGGCCCCTGACTACTAGCTGGCAGGGCCTTACGTCTCTCTTCTCAGATTTGCTCCTTGACATTTGCTTGTGGCTGTTGCCTGGCAGTGGCAACAGCTGGGGTGGGGTGTGTACAAGAGGCTCTGTAACACTATCCTCCCGTCCTGCTCCCTAATGAAATTGGAGCTTCCTTGCCTTGAGCTGTAGGGGGAGGATTGTGGGGGGGCCAGGTGCCTGTGAGGACCATGGGGGTTTTCCTATTGAGTTTTGGCTCCCATGGGATGGATGTGGCTGTGGGGGTGGTTGGCCTGGGTGTCCCCTGAGCTTCATGTATAATCCAACAATTCAGTCAGGGAAACCTGAAAGCATTTCCAGTTAATCCCTTGGTTGTGCCTGTCTATGCCCGCCTGTTCCCGCTGACTAACAGCAGTGGCAGTGCTCGTGTGAATATGGCCTTGGAGGGTGTAGACCCTCAAAGCCATGTGGGGCTGCAGCACCCCCATGATGCCCTGCCCTCTTGTTCCTGCACGTGTTCTCGCCTCATTCTCTTCTTTACTCATTTGAGTGCCTTGTTACCTGTTGTTCTCCCTTCCCCTGCTCCTCAGGTGCTGGCCTGGTTTGAGGAAGGTGAAGAGACCATTACCGCCTTTGTTGAGCCCTTTGTCATCCTCTTGATCCTCATTGCCAATGCCATCGTGGGTGTTTGGCAGGTTAGCTTTGATTCCACCTCACTCCTTCACATCCTGACACTGAACGTGAGGCCAGCCTCCCGCCCTCCTCCTCCATCACTTCCCCTGGGCTTACCTTGTTCTCTGGTCCCATTGCCCAGTTTGGAAATGGGACAGCATGTTGTAAAGACGTGGGAGTGGTGTTCCGCCATCATTTGCTAGTTGTATAACCCTGTGCAAGTTCCTCCATTTCTCTGAGCCTCAGTTTCCTCATCCATAATATGGGGCTAATAATCCTATACCACAGAGTTGTGGTGAAACTTAAGTAGATGATGAGTGTAAGCACCCAGCCGTGTGCCTGGCATATAGTAGGAGTTGAGTGAATGCTAGTTTGATTCTCTTCTTTATCTTACCTTACCGCCGTCTACTTTTCCTGTCCCCTGCTTTCTGATTTTCTTTTCTTTTTTCCTCAAGACCCCCTTACTCGTTTTTAGCCATAAGTGATAGTTTCCAGTTTCTTAACACATACACACACCTACTCCTCATGGGGTTTGTCTGCTCCCCTATGACAGGAGTCAGGACTGAATGACTTACCTCTTTCTCTGTGATGCCCCTATTTCCCCTAGGACTCTGGCCCCTAGTCCTCCATTTCTATACCACCACAACCCCAAGTCCTCCCTGGCCAGTCCCTTCCCATTCCACAACCTTTCTCCCTCTGATGTCCGTCCTCTCCTCCACCCTGTCTGCCCAGGAGCGAAATGCAGAGAATGCTATCGAGGCTCTGAAGGAATATGAACCTGAGATGGGGAAAGTCTACCGGGCTGACCGCAAATCAGTGCAAAGAATCAAGGCTAGGGACATTGTCCCTGGAGACATTGTGGAAGTGGCTGGTGAGTGATAGGGGTGAGTGGTCCAGGATGGGAGGTCTTGAGTTTGAGGCCACCAAGATGTGTATGTTGCAGGTAGAGGCTGGCCAGCTCCTGATTCTCATGTGCAGGAGGTCACCAGGATGGTGGAGTCTTTGCTTCTCCTCCAGACTCCTCAGGAGGTTATCCCAGGGCACTGGGTCCACAGCACCTCCTCCCCATCAGAGTCTTAGCAGGAACAGCCGGTCCTGTCCCTGAAGCTGCAGGCAGACCCCCTGCTCCCCCTCTTCTCACCCAGCACTTGCAAGCAACAGGTGGAACCCAGTCCCTGCCAACGACTCCGTCTCCACCCACCTCCTGAGGCCTGGCTTTCCTCTCCTTCCACCCACCCCCAAGCTTGGTCAGCTTTAAATCTTGACCTCTCGGTGCCCTTGAGGTCTTTCAAAGGGGAAGGAGCTAGGATAGAAGGGAGGAGGGGGGCCAACGTCTCAAGCCCCCAACCATGTAAGGGAAACTCAGGCCCCGCAGAGAGCACGGGACCTGGAGGAGGGGAGCTCAAGGAAGGGCCCCGCCTCTCCGGTGAGGGACACTTAATGCCTGGCCAGGGAGGGGTGGGGGCTGGGTGGCTAAGATTACTGGGATTCTGCCCCCTTCAGCGGTTTTTATATTTGCGCTGTGCAGGCCTTCACATCTCCAGGCCCCTGGCACAAGAGAATCTATCTTTCTAAGCCTGCTTCCCTCCGCCAGACACCCATGTTACCACATGGGAAACTTGGGGAGTGGGAAGAGGGTGGGCTGAAGACCCCAGTGCCCCATCACAGGGCTGGCCTGCCACCATGACAGCTTGGAGTTAGCACCATGAGTGTCTATAAATACCACTTCTGCTTGGGTGACCGGTGTCCAGCCCAACTCCATTGCTGACCTCCTCCCTCCTGCATCAGCTTCCTCTGGCAGAGGAGGAGGAACCTTAGAAACAGGGAAAGAAGAGCAGTTCAACTCTGTCCCCAGAACCATCTGCAGGACAGGATGGGATCAGGCAGAGGTGCTGGGAGGCGGCCAGCCTCCTCTAAGGTCTCTCAGTCAGGCAGGGCATCTGCCTTGCCGGCCTCCTTGCAAGAGAGGTTCCTGCACTGACCCACTCCTTGTGTGCTCTCTGGTGTGTTGCTTTCCCCATTCTCCCCCTTCCTTGTTTCCCGCAGCCTCCCCTTCTCTCCTGCCTGGCTCCCAGCTCATGCCCTGGCTTCCTGCCTTCCCTGAGACACTCAGACCAGGGCCCTACAGGTTTCCAACCGTGTGATCTATTCCCACCCTCTGCTCTCTGTGCCTCCCTCTCCTGCCTCTTCCGTCCTCACACGTGTCCCTCTCTAATTCTCCTGCTTCTTGCTCCACCTCTTGTCTTGGTTGGCATTGATTTTCTCAATTCCAGTATTCTCTCCAGTTTCTTCCTGCCTCCCAGCTCTTCCACTCATGTTCTCTTCCCCCAGCGCATCTCTCCGACTCACCCTGTTTTTGTTAGTTCTTTTCTTGCCTCTCCCTCTTCACCTTTTCCCTCATTTCTCTCTCTGCTTCGGTGGCTCCCCATCCTGTTTTAGTTTCTTGTTATACAACTGGATTGTTCTACTTTTCCAGTTGCTCACTCAGTGTGCATTTACTGAGCACATACCAGGCAGTGTGCCAGATCCTCCCCTCAGGGCTCATGTCCCAGGTTTGGGGAAAGCACTCAACAAGGGGGATGACTGGAATGAGGGTTCAGGGGGAGATGCTTACTGGAGTTACAGGAGCACATGCTAAGGGCCTGACCCCAGCCTGGGGTGGGCCCCTGACCAGGTGACCTCCTCGAAACCTGAAGGATGAGGTGATGTATCAGACAAGGATTGGGTTTTTCTCAGGAAGAAAGAAAAGTCCTTTCTCAACTGACTTCACTATTCTCTTCTCTGTCCACAGTGGGAGACAAAGTCCCTGCAGACATCCGCATCCTTTCCATTAAATCCACCACCCTCCGGGTGGACCAGTCCATTCTGACAGGTCTGGTGGCCTGGGGGGGAGGATGCTTCAGGGGGTGTGGGGATGAGGATTCAGTGAGGGAGAAGCTGGGCTGACAGACAGGGATGAAATTCCAGGCGGATCAGAGAGAACATTCAGCAACAGGGCCCCTCCTAGCTCCAGACTGGCTGCAGTGCCAGTGCTGCTCAGCTCATTCACTGTCCCAAGCCTGAAACACAAGGGGTCCTGAGCCATGACCTCCTACACAGACCTACAGACACACTCAACCGAGTGAACCATCCTGTCTCCTCAAAAGCCCTCAGGTGGGGAATCATAGATTCTAGAACACAATAGAGGGGTCCGTCGCACTTAAAAGCATGGCTGTTGTAGTTTCCCCACTGGGAGAGGGCGAGGGGCCAGCGAGCAGTCTAGGTGGCCCCCAGAGGTGAGGCTTGGCTGGCCCAGGGTGACTGTCAGAGCCCCTGCCACTCGAGTGAAGGAGGCCAGGTCCCAGGGGTGGGGGCCTCTCCCTCCTGGAATGTACTCCAGAGTCAACAGCGCACACATCAGCTTTCTCTGACGCTCAGCAAGACCTTGTTCTGAAGTGTACATATTACTATCCCCATTTTACAGAGAAGCAAACAGCTAAGTGATCCAAAGGCTTGTAGCTTGTAAGTGTTTGAGCTGGGGCGAGGGTCAAGGTCTCTTCACTCTACAGGCCATGGGTTTCCCACTTACCTCCAGTGGCTCCTTCCAGAGTCCAGACTTCCTCCAGGATTGTTGCTTGGTCCTTTCCAGGCCCTGTTCTACAGAGCAGGGAGGGAGTTGGGGTGGAAAGTCTGGGAGGACATGATATTATCTGAGACCCCCTTGGCCTCTTCTCCACAGGTGAGTCTGTATCTGTCATCAAGCACACAGACCCTATTCCTGACCCCCGAGCTGTCAACCAGGATAAGAAGAACATGCTTTTCTCGGTGAGGCATCCAGGGCCAGCTGTCATACATGCAAGCCAGAGGCCCTGGTCGGGAGATACATCATGGCATGAGAAGAGATGAGGCCAGCAGCTGGGGGAACACGGCATGAGGGTTGTTTCTTGCCTGATTCCTTGCCTGTAATCCATCTTCCCAGGGCACCAACATTGCAGCCGGCAAGGCTTTAGGCATCGTGGCCACCACTGGTGTGAGCACCGAGATTGGGAAGATCCGTGACCAAATGGCCGCCACAGAACAGGACAAGACCCCTTTGCAGCAGAAGCTGGATGAGTTTGGGGAGCAGCTCTCCAAGGTCATCTCCCTCATCTGTGTGGCTGTCTGGCTTATCAACATTGGCCATTTCAATGATCCCGTCCATGGGGGCTCTTGGATACGGGGTGCCATCTACTACTTTAAGATTGCTGTGGCCCTGGCTGTGGCTGCAATCCCGGAAGGTATGGAAACCTCTTTTTCTCCTCCCATTTGCTACTCTCACCAGCAAAAGACCCTTTTTCCAAATTACAGTTTCCAGGACCTGATATCTTTGGGGGCCATTATTCAGCCTACCATGCTCGGTTTCCCTTCCTCCCCCATTATTTTTCCCTCACCTCCTCTCTTTCCACCCCCAGGCCTTCCTGCAGTCATCACCACCTGCCTGGCCTTGGGCACCCGCCGGATGGCAAAGAAAAATGCAATTGTGAGGAGCCTGCCTTCTGTGGAGACTTTGGGCTGCACCTCTGTCATCTGTTCCGACAAGACAGGCACCCTCACCACCAACCAGATGTCGGTCTGCAAGGTCAGGGAAGTGTAGGCAACTCCCACTCAGAAGACTGCCTTTATCATTGGCAGCTTCTCATTTTGGCCTGAGAAAGAACTGCCAAAGGGCAGATATGAAGAGGATCAGAGAGGCCCCTCTGCCCCGGCCAGATAGCTCCCTATAGCCACTGTCTGTGTGCCAGACACCATCACGTGTTCTCTCTAATCCTCCACAATGGCCCCATCAGCGAAAGGTCTCGTTTATCCCCTTTTCCAGAGAAGGAAACTGAGGCTCTGGGAGCTTCAGTGCAGTTCATAGGTAGAAGAATTTAGTTTCAAGGTCAAGTCTGTCTGGCCCCAGGGCTGCCTGTGGAGCAGACCGCCTCCCAGACTGGTCATCCATGGCAGGACTGGGAGCTTGGCTGCATGGATCTTGAACAGCATTTCCTAAACCAGGGCTTTTAATCTTTTCCATGCCTCAGACTTTGACAGTCTGGACCTCTTCTCAGTGTAATATTGTAACATATAGAATAAAATACATAGGATTCTGTTTTAAAAGTACATCAGATCACAGAGGAAACCAATAATCAAAATATGGTCATCAAAATATTTTAAAAACAGATTTGTGATTTGGTAACACATATGCTTTGTTAATGCACTAAGTAGCCAGTTTAGCAGTGGATGTGAGAACTACTGTAATGATGACACCACGACAAGCAGGAATGGGATTCTGAAAGTGCTGCAGCACTGCAGTGTGATGGGGAAGTGTCTGTGATTACACTGGGGCAAAACTGCAGGGTTTGCTGATGCTAATGTGGTCTGCATTTATAATTGGAGGGAAATGTTAAATGTCAGTTAAAGAGAAAAAAAGACGTTGGTATGTTTGCCATCAAAGTTCACAGACCCCCTTGTCTAGGACCTGGGGAAGTCGTGGACTCCAGGCAAAGAACCCCTGCCCTAAACAGAGTTCTGTGGAATAGTGTCTGTAAAATGTGAATTGCTGTTCTGAGAAGCAAGGGCTATGTGGCCAGACTAGGGTGAGAAAGGCTGTACCCTCATCCCCTTGGGGATGCCCACATGCCTGTTGGCATTTGAAAGCCTCAGAGAGGGCTGACCATGAAGTGGGGGGATTCCATCCAGAGTTTCCTAAAATGACTTGACCACTTTGTTTTGGAGTAAATCCATCATAAGTCCCATCCCTTTCATGTTCTGGTTCAGGATGGGCTGCTCCCCTTTGAGCATTGCATTCTCTGCATCCCTCCAGAACATGGGCTTCAAAGCCAGGCTGTAGGTTTTGAATAAAATGAATAAAAATGAATTAATTGCCCACATTTGCGAGTCAAGATATTTTATAGGAAAATAACCTGAATTTCTAGCTCTTCCTGCAAAACTGGAAGATCTGGCCATAAGCAGGCCATGTACTGCCAGGTGGACTGGTAGCCGTGGTCCCTACCACACCTTATTGTGCATGTCTAATTTTATCAACTGACTTCAAGGAGCCTCCAGCATGGCTCACAGTACCTTTTGAACACTAACACAGAACCTGGAGAATGAGTGCGAGGGAGAGGGGAGGGGTTGGTGCAAGGAGGAGAAAGGCAAGTGGGGAATGATGGGGAATCTGGTTAGTCTGCACAGGTGGCTGGCTGGAGGGACGGAGCTCCAGCCTCCCTCAATGCCCCTGTAGACATGGAGACAGTTGGATATCTGTGTGCATGCCCTTCTCCCCTGCAGATGTTCATCATTGACAAGGTGGATGGGCACACCTGCGACCTGAATCAGTTCTCTATCACAGGCTCCACTTATGCTCCAGAAGGAGAGGTGTAAGTCCTCCAAACTTTCTCCCAGCTCCCTGCCTCCATCTCCCTGGAGCCATCCCTCTATTTTTGTCTTCATTTCTCTCTCCTCTGCCTTCCCCAACCTGTTCTCTCCCACCTGATCTCTCTGAGTTGGTTGCCATCCGCCTGACTGTCCCTTGTTGCTTTCCCCACACTCTCTCTGCATCTCATTTCCTATTCTTCTCTACTGTCTTTTCCTTCCTTCCTCCCTGCCCTGCTGCCAGCTTGAAGAACGATAAGCCAGTCCGGGCAGGGCAGTATGATGGGCTGGTGGAGCTGGCCACCATCTGTGCCCTCTGCAATGACTCCTCCTTGGACTTCAATGAGGTAACCTGTCCACTCCTGAGGACACCCCTCCTTCCCTTTCCAACTGAAACCGAGTCCAGGCCCCTTCCACAGGCTGCAAGGAAGGGGTTGGGGGAAAGGGATCCCTTGTACCAAGTCCTCTCTTGGCTGTAAGGGGAAGAGAAGGGCTTGCTCCCTTCCCGTTCTAAGTGGAAGATGGGTATGATAGGTGGGAGCAAGGGGTCAAGAGCCCAGGACACCTACTTTCTCCTCCTCCTCTGCCCCCTCAGGCCAAAGGTATTTATGAGAAGGTGGGTGAGGCCACCGAGACAGCACTCACCACCCTGGTGGAGAAGATGAATGTATTCAACACTGATGTGAGAAGCCTGTCAAAGGTGGAGAGGGCCAATGCCTGCAACTCAGTGAGTCCGGGTGCTCTCTCCCACAGGGTCCTTCTTCAGCCATAGTGCTCAGCCAGGACCCAAGGAATCTCAGGAGACAGAGGCCCCCAGCTAGGCTGGGCAGGCCCTTGTGTCCCATGCTGGGACCCCAGTCAGCACAGCCTTCTCTACAGCTTTTCTTGGCCAGGGTGACTTTGGCCCACAGCCCCTGGGCTTAAACCAGTCTTTCTGCTGCTTAGCTGCAATACCCCTTGATGAATTTAGTCACTTCCTCCTGTTGGGTACCTAGCTGAAAGGGATGGAGCTGGACAAAAAAAACAACACAGGACCCATCCTGGGGCAGCTCTAATTTCAACTATTATCCCTTTGTCTCTAGAAGCACACTTGTTGTTATAGATCTCAAGACTTGAATCAGGATTCAGGAAATATGACTATTAAATATTTTTCCATGTCCCCTTGTCTAGATATACAAGCCCAGTTCTGTTACTCTCACTCTAAGGTCTTGCTAGTCATATATACTCAGTGTCTATATGGAATTCCTCTAGGGTGTTACTCATTCTTTTTTCTGTTTTTCATAGATGCTCACTGCTGCTTTACTCAATATGACAGAAATAATGAAAACAACCTAAATATCTAATTCATTTTAAGAACTTATAAATGATAATATAAACATCAACTTATGTTTTATTTCATTTCTTGTTACTTTTATTCTTGCTTTATCTTGTGGAAGATTATCCATGATGCATTTGTTGAAAGAAGGCTCTCATTCATTTTTATGGAGTGCATATAACAGCATGCCAGGCAGTAGGTCCATGCTGTCCAACATGTGTCTCTAGAAGCACACACGTGTTTATTTAAAGCAATTCAGTTAAAGTAAAAATTCAGTTCTTCAGTTGCATTGGCCACATTTCTGAGCTCAGTAGCCATTGCTCAATTGCACCATGTTGGGTGGTTCAGAGTGTAGGACATTCCCATCCCACTGAAAATTCTGTTGGTTAGTGCCACACAGTGCCATCCTGTTTATTGTCCTTAAAATGGACGCTGTAAGTCAGTGGCAGCATGAGCCTTGGAATTCCATCAGTGTTGTTGTAGGCACCAGACTCAGCTTTAGTCTCAGACTCAGCTTGGGGCCTGCTTTGACCTCCAGGTCCTTTTGACTATGTTTTAAGTGGTCTGGACTCCTCCCTTCTGGCACAGCACCATTGCTCTCTTCCCACCAATCTCATGTCTGTCTCCCTATCTCCTCTCTCCCAGGTGATCCGCCAGCTAATGAAGAAGGAATTCACCCTGGAGTTCTCCCGAGACAGAAAGTCCATGTCTGTCTATTGCTCCCCAGCCAAATCCCGGGCTGCTGTGGGCAACAAGATGTTCGTCAAGGTCAGAAATCAGAACGCCCCTTACCACCCCCTCTTCTTCCTAATCCTAAACCCCTCTCCCATCCCTGCCTCTCTCACCATGCCCTGGAGGGAAGACAGCAGCCTCTGAATGCTGCTCTGGTCTCCTAGGGTGCCCCTGAGGGGGTTATTGACCGCTGTAACTATGTGAGAGTTGGCACCTCCCGCGTGCCGATGACAGGGCCAGTGAAGGACAAGATCATGTCGGTGATCAAGGAATGGGGCACTGGCCGGGACACCCTACGCTGCCTGGCCCTGGCCACCCGGGACACCCCTCCGAGACGAGAGGAGATGACCCTGGATGACGCTACCAGGTTCATGGAGTACGAGGTGAGCAGACGGAAGCTTCCCATTGCCCCAGAGTCATCCATGTTACTCCTGCCACCCTGTCGCTTTCTACTTTGTCACGGGTCCTAGAATCACAGGATGTTAGTTTGAAAGAGCCGTAGGAATCATCTAGTCCAGAACTACTTTGCATACGATCCATGGACCTGTTTGAGATGAAGTGAGGCACTTGCAGCAGAACAGAAATCAGCTAGGTTGCCAGGCATACACAGGTGCAGCTGACATGTTTCCGTGGTGAGATTTTCTCAATGCAGGAAGCAGTGCATTGGCCTACGTGCTGGCGTAAGCTCTGTATCTTGGGTGGACTGACTCGCTGAAGAGCACCAAAGTCCACTCCCTTCATTTTAGAGTGGGGACACTGTGACCTGGCAGGTAACATGGATTCGCTCAAAGTTGTAGACCAAGTGAGTGGCCCTCCTGAGACCAAAAACCACTGCCCTAACTTCCACCTAGAGTTCTAAGAAAGACATGGTCTGCCATCTGTTGATGGGACTGTTGCTGCCAGGCCTGCAGGTATCTGTGACCAAGGAATGTCTCTGCCCCTGACTTAGCTCATAAATTGCTGAAGTTTGGACCAGGCCCAGGGGCTGCTCTTCCCCTCAGTTCACTGACCTTTCTCCCTGTCTGCCCCTGAACTTCCTTCCTGCCTCATATTCGGAGTCCCTCCTTGATCCTGCCACTCTCTGCTCCCTCTTCCCCAGACGGACCTGACATTCATTGGTGTGGTGGGCATGTTGGACCCGCCCCGCAAGGAGGTCACGGGCTCTATCCAGCTGTGCCGCGATGCTGGCATTCGGGTGATCATGATCACTGGGGACAACAAGGGCACAGCCATTGCCATCTGCCGACGAATTGGCATCTTTGGGGAGGATGAGGAGGTGAGAGACCGAGCCTACACTGGCCGGGAGTTCGACGACCTGCCCCTGGCTGAGCAGCGGGAAGCTTGCCGTCGTGCTTGCTGCTTTGCCCGTGTGGAGCCCTCCCATAAGTCCAAGATCGTGGAGTATCTGCAGTCCTTTGATGAGATCACAGCCATGGTGAGAACACTGTGGGCTGGCCTCACTGGGACACACTGGGGCCTGGCATGGGGCAGTCTGCTGAGTGTCCATTGAGATGGCTGTACCAGGGGGCTGGGGGCTGAGCAGGGGCCCATGAGATGCATGGAAGGCAGGGACTCAGACCCTGATCGGAAAGTCTCATGGAGGGGTGTGTGGAAGGGACAAGGTCCCACCTTTTCTTTCGTCCTGCAGACAGGAGATGGCGTCAATGACGCCCCTGCCCTGAAGAAGGCTGAGATCGGCATTGCCATGGGGTCGGGCACTGCCGTGGCTAAGACCGCCTCTGAGATGGTGCTGGCTGATGATAACTTCTCCACCATCGTGGCCGCTGTGGAGGAGGGCCGCGCCATCTACAACAACATGAAGCAGTTCATCCGCTACCTCATTTCCTCCAACGTGGGCGAGGTGGTCTGGTGAGCAGCCAGGGCAGGCACCTAGTGGAATGGGTGGGTGGGGGGATGACCAGAGGTCTGGGAGGCAGGACAGACATATAACTTCTGTCTTCTGGCAGCATCTTCCTGACAGCCGCCTTGGGGCTGCCTGAAGCCCTGATCCCTGTGCAACTGCTGTGGGTGAACTTGGTGACTGATGGGCTCCCAGCCACAGCCCTGGGCTTCAACCCACCAGATCTGGACATCATGGACCGGCCCCCCCGGACTCCCAAGGAGCCCCTCATCAGTGGATGGCTCTTCTTCCGCTACATGGCAATTGGGGGTGAGCAGGATGTGATCCCCCAATCCTTCCCAACCCTCAGAACTGACCCCCTCTCTGGGACACCAGCTTACCCAGTTCTCCTTCCTCAACTAGCTGTTACGGCCATGAGGCCCTCTTAACTCCTCCCATCTCCCCGGCCCTGATTCCCCAACTCCCATCTTCTGTTTACCACAGGTTATGTGGGTGCAGCCACTGTGGGAGCAGCTGCCTGGTGGTTCCTGTATGCGGAGGATGGGCCTCGGGTCACCTACAGCCAGCTGGTAGGGGAGCTAGAGGCAGGAGGAGGGGTGGGAAGCAGGAGGGCAGCATGGATGCTTCTATGGACCCTGTTTCCTCACCCCTCCCTCGACAGACTCACTTCATGCAGTGCAATGAAGAGAATCCTGACTTTGAGGGTCTGGACTGTGAGGTCTTTGAGGCCCCAGAGCCCATGACCATGGCCTTGTCTGTGCTGGTTACCATCGAGATGTGCAATGCGCTCAACAGGTGGGGCCCGTGCACCCTCCCGCTGTGCTTTCTGGACGCCATAGCCTGTCCTCCACCCTCCTCACCACTGCTTTCTCCTTGTGTCTCCCACCCTTGGCTCTGCCTGGCCTCCCCCATGCAGCCTGTCTGAGAACCAGTCCCTCCTGCGGATGCCACCATGGGTGAATATCTGGCTGATGGGCTCCATCTGCCTGTCCATGTCCCTCCATTTCCTCATCCTCTACGTTGACCCTCTGCCGGTGAGCCTCCTTCCAACCAGGGGCCACCCACCTGTTCCCTACCCTAAAAGGAGCCTGTGTAGGTGTCTGTGGCCATTACAACTAGAGGCTCTGACCAAGGGAGGAAGGTAGGGTCAGGCTGGGATGGCACCTGGTCCTGTCTCCTCTGAGGCCCTCTCACTGCCTCTGCTACCTGCTCCCAGATGATCTTCAAGCTCCGGGCCCTAGACTGCAACCAGTGGTTTATGGTCCTCAAGATCTCATTGCCAGTCATTGGGCTTGATGAAATCCTCAAGTTTGTTGCTCGAAACTACCTGGAGGGTAAGACGTGCCCCTCCTCTGAGATCAGCCCCTGGGCCCTGAGCACAGCCCCTCCCTTTGCGCTGCGAAGGCGCCTGCCCCCTCTTCCTTTTCAGGTGGGTGTGTTCTCAGCCCTGGCAGGACCAGCATCCACCAGGGAGGCAGCCCAGGCCCCTTCCTCTCATCCTACTCTGCCCTGGTGGGGGTGCAACCTCCCCAGTTCCCCATAAATTCAGCCCTCCGGCCCTCACGCCACCTCCCTCCCTGGGTAACAGCTATCTCTCTGTCCTCTCTGGCCATAGGATAACCTGTTCCCCCTCTTCCATCTCTTTGAGTCGTGCCACAGGTATCATCCCCTTCTTGCCCTCACCCCAGCCGCTGTGCCCTCGCCTGCCCCTCCCCCTCAGTGGCCTTGAGGTCACTTCTGCTCGCAACTCCCCCGGAGCCACTGCTGCCACCGCCACACTTCCCTCCCATCGGGGTTGGGGTCCGCTGCTGCCCTTCCTCTGGGGCCAGTCTTGGCCCCGCCTCTGGCACCCTGTGTTCTGGCTGCCCTGCGCTGCTCTGCGCTGGCTGGGCCCTGAGCTGTCTGCTGCTGGGCTACAGTGCTTGGGAGGAGTGGGGTCTGGGGACTCAGGTGAGTGTGGGGGGCTGGGTGACCCTCCAGATGAGTGTGCCAGCAGACAGGGCCCTCTTCCTCTCCCCTCTTGCCCTGCCACCAGTTCCAGCCTTCTCTTTCCCCTTCTAGATCCAGAAGATGAAAGAAGGAAGTAACCCGTCTCTTTACCTCCTCCCCCCCACCCCCCCCACAGTGATGCATCTTCAGCCAGAGCTGTGGCACAGACCCCCACGTTCCTCTATTCCCCGACATTTTTCTGTTTATAAACACAATGTCCCTTTCAGTTCTCACCACCACCGCCCCCCAGCAACCCTGCCTTCTGCCCTTGTAAAACCTCCCCTCTCCAACCCTGTGGGGCTTGCAGGGACAAGGAAACTGATTGAGCTGAGCTGCTTATTTATTGAAAATAAATGACAGAAAAGTCTGGCCTTGCCTCCATGCTCATCCTAGGGCCTGGGTCAGCCTCTGGGGACAAGCATCTTAGTGTCATGCAATCCAGAAAGTAGCTGCCTGTTTCGGGATATACGTGTGGAGGGACCTGCTGACTTGGGCTGGAGGCTCCGAGCCACTCCTCACAGCTTGGCTGTGCCTCAGGGATGGAGATGGGCTGTCACAGGCATGGCTGTTAGTCTGGCTGGGAGTGTGGGGGCAGAGGATTAGGACCCAGGAGGCAGCATGGCTTCCAGAAAGCTGCAGATCTGAGCCTGCACCTTTGTTCCTGGAGGGGTAGGGACCCTTACCCAGCTGTCTTTGAGAGAAGTCCCAGCCACCCCTGGGAGGAGGCACTGGAGGGACAGGGCAGTGGCGGCCCCATCACCTCAACCCCAGGCTTGAGGGTGAAGACTACATCCTGAGACCCCAAGGCCCAGGCCTCATGGTTTGGGAGCAGAGAAAGGCGGTCAACCCTGGGGTGGTGGGTTTGGGCCCCTCAGGTGTCCTTGATGTCCCTGACATCCCTGAGGGGTGCCTCGTCCACGATGCTGTGCACTTGCTCCAGACTCTCTGCCTGGCGGATCCGTTCCAGGCGCACCTATGGGGTCCAATGAAGCAAATAGGTTGTTTATAACAGCTTGTTATAAACCAACGATTACGATATATTCAATTTTGTAGGTCCCACATCACTTAAAATTAACAAACAAAATTACTGCGTCTTATGCATTAAGCATTCTGTTAACTCATTTTCTCTTCATGCTCATGCTGAGAATGGGGTATGGTTCCATTTTTCAGATGAGGAAACTGAGTCAAGTGAGCTGGGGAAGTGCTGCTCCTCTCCTACCTGCCAGCCCCTTGAGGGGCAAGGACCTAGGACCAGTGTACCCAGGGGCCCCACCTCCCCCAACCCACAGTGAAACCGTGTTCAAAGGAAGAAAAGGGGCCTCAGAGCACGTCCTGGGGAAGTGTGGGCAGGAGCAGGTGGGGTGATGTAATGAGCACACTGCACTTCTGTGCACTAGGCCCTGGCCAGGGCTTCGCGTGACCAGCAAAACAGACACGGAATGTCTTCCAACTTGTTTTGAGCAACAGCTCAGAGGACAGGACCATGCCAGCCCCAGAAGAAGAGAGGACTCCTCGGATTTAGGGACTGTCTTTGCAAGAGCTGGGACAAGTCACCTGGAGTCATGCCGGCCCAGTGGGGAGGGAACACACCATACCTGCAGGGCCTGGGACAGTCGTACAAAATCCCTCTGCACCTGTTCACTGGTCTCCAACTCAGCCTGCAGCCGCAGCACCTTGGCCCTCTGCTCTGAGAGGAGGTCTGTGACCTGGGCCTAGGGGGACCAGATGTAGAGCTACGGCCTTGGATCAGGTGGGAGAGCATGTGACCAAAGAAACAGGCTGTCTAGATGAGGTAGCCCCTTCTACACTACCCCTATTCTGACCTCCTCTGTGTGGCCTGAGCCTGGTGGCTGCCTCAGGGCTTCCTGCCGTCTGGCCTGAGAAGATATAAAGGCAGGAGGGGCTGGTTAGGGTCTTCACACTGCCGCCACTCACCTGTCATCCCAGTCTGGCCCTCAAGTTCTGCCTCACCTTGTTTTGCTCCTGCTGGATCCGCTCCATCTCTGTCCTCAGGCTACACAGGGAGGCTGAAAAGTCAGGCAGGAGCCAGATGTCAGGCCCACACCCTCTCTCCTTTTCCACCCTGCCTGGGGAGGGCTCCAGCATATACTCACCCTCTAACACCTCTGTGTGGAAAGGAAAGAAAGAGAGGTCAAGGCTCATTCTCGCATAGCCTCCTCTCTCCCCTCCCGGCACCCAGGTGGTGCCTGTGGGGAGGTCAGCCTCCCTGGAAGCAAGGCAGGGATGGCTCATTCCCTCTTCCCTCACCTGTCTCTTCCCGCTGCACCCTCAGCTGCCCCTCCAGACTGGCCCTGGCTGCTGCTGCCTCGTCTAATGCCTCCCGCAGGGTTACAATCTCAATACGCAGGCGCTCAGCCTCGTGCTCCCGGGCCTGCTGATGGGCCCGCGCCTCCTGCCGTGTGCGCTGTACCAGTTGCTGCAGCTCCTGGAAGGCATGCGAGTCCCGGGGTTGGAGGGGGCAGCCCCAGGGGCACCTGCTAGATTGGGATCCTGGGGAGGAAGGAAGCAAGGAAGGAAGGGAGGAAGGAAGCAAACTTAAAAGGGGAAACAGCCCAAATGCCACCAGGGGGACAGTGCACATGTTACAGCAGTCACACTCCCCAGGGTGGAGGACCCTCAGGAATGGTGCTGAGTCAAAGTTCCTGATTACCTAGAGCAAGGTACCCTTTTATAAAGCTCAGAAACAACTAGTGTTAGCACTCCACTGTTTAGGCAGACATGTATTTGTAATTAAAAGGACACTGAAGAAAGAGCAAGGGAATGATAAAGTTCAGGACAGCAGAAACAGAACCGAGGAATATGGGGGGTGCACGTAGGAGATGTTAAGTTGTAGTCCTCAGGGTGGGCAAGGGTTCTGGTTGAGCTTCATGTTTTTACTAAATTAAATCAATGAAGCCATGCACAGATCAATGACAGCTTGTTATAAACCAATAATTACGATATATTCCATTTTGTAGGTCCCACATCACTTAAAATTAACAAACAAAATTACTGCTTCCTAAGCATTAAGCATTCTGTTAACTCATTTTCTCTTCATGCTCATGCTGAGAATGGGGTATGGTTCCATTTTTCAGATGAGGAAACTGAGTCAAGCGAGCTGGCCTAGGTGACCCAGTTCATACACAGCAGCTTGGGCCTGTTCCCAGGTCCCAGGTCAATGCTTTGCTGTTAGCAGAGAGGAAGGGCCCCACCGGGTGGCCCTCCAGGTCCTGTGCCTGCAACCCCCTCACCGGTACCAAGCTGGGAAGTGGCTCCTCCTGGCACTCGTAGGGCTCCAGGCCCTGGAGGCCTGAAGTTGGTGGCTGCTCGGCCCGGAGCCCTTGGTTTTCCACAGTCAGTCGCTTCACCTCATGGCTCAGGCACTTGTGAGAGGTGGCCAGCTCTGCCTGTAGATGGACAGTTCATGCGAGGCAATGAGGGGAATGGGGCGTCTCCAGTCCCCTGTGAGGCCAAACTCTGAACCCTCCTCCCACCATTGCTGACAGCCAGAAATCCATGCCCTCCTCCTCTGCTGATAAAGGAAGAAACGCCCTCAAGTGTCTTTAGCTCTCAAACCCTTTATACACCCTCCTTGATGACTCAGCAGGAGTCACACAGTGGCAGCCACAGTCACACTGGGTGTCTTACTTGGTCCACATGTTTTTTCTTAAACCTTGAATTAGTTGCTAACTTTAAAAACTGAGAAGCTACACACAAATGTCCAGATTTCTAGCTTCTCTTGACAGAGCAGGAAGCCTGGCAGCATTGTGCTTGTACCCCCATACAGCCAGCTCACTGGAGCTGAGGGGCAGCTGTGCCCTTTGCGTGGGTCTCCTGGTTTGCCCTGCTCCCTTTCCTCTCACACACCTGGCCCAGTTCAATCATTTATATATCCTGTCTGGTCTTGGGAAGTATCAGATTTTGCACTCCTTGCTTTTAATCCTTACAACTCGGCAAGCGAGGTCCCATTATCTCAGTTTCTAGGTGGCAAAGTTGAGGCTCTGAGCTTGTGGGATCAGCTCAAGATCACAGAGAGAATGCACGGGGGGGCTCTGACCGCAGGCCAGGTGCCCTAGAAACCCTTTTACCCACCCAGCATCAACTCCAGGGCAAAGCCTGAGCAGCTGGAGGGCAGAACAGGTGCCTAAACCTTCTGTGTATCCCTCAACCAATTCCCACCACACTCCTCCCCCTCCCACCCCAGCCCTCAGCCCTCACCATCTGCAGCTGAACCCGCTCCTGGGCCTGGCTCACAGTCCCCTGCAGGGTCCGCAGCAGCTGCTCAGAGTTCTGGACCTGGGCCAGGAGCACCTGCATCTGTGAGTGGAAGGGAGTGAGGGTGAGGCCAGGGCACAAGAGGCAGGTGGCCAGAAGCTAAGCCAGGGATGAAGCAGAGGCCAGGCCCACCTGCTTGGTGCAGTCCTCATTACTGCGTCTCAGGCCTTCTTGCAGCTCGTCCCGCTCACGGCTGATGCTCTCCAGGTCCTTCTGCAGCTGCTGTCCCTGCCGCAGACAGTGGTCTCAGTCCCAGCCTCCAAGAAGAGGCCTGCCCTCCCATGCCTTGCCTTTCACATCTCAGGGGGCAACACCGTCATCCACGCAGTGGCTCAAGCCAAGAGCCCAGGAACTGATGCTGATTCTTCTCTCCTCTACTCCCCACTTCCAGCCCACTAGTGGGCACTGACCAGTTTGCCTCCAAAATGGGTTCCGAATCCACCCACTTCTCTCCATTTCTGCTGTCATCTCCTGGTCCCAGTCACTACCTTCTTCTAAACCATGTCAAGTATCTCCCATCCTATTTTTCCTGTTGTTCCCTCCCCAGCTAAGTCTGTTCCTACTCAGAGGCCCAAGTGATCTGTTAAAAGCCTAAAGCACAGCATGCCTCTTCCTGGCTTAAACCCTGTAGAGATTTCTCACTGCTCCTTGCCTAGAATGTAAATGCCATGGCAGGTCCCTGAGGCTGACCTATGGACCCTGACTTCCTTTCTGATCTCAACTAGCTCCTCCTCCCTGGTGGCCTTGTTGTTCCTCAGATACACCACGGTCTGTCCTCAGGGACTTTGACCTTGCAGTTCCTTCCACCCCAATCTTTGAAGAGTACCTCTTTTTTACCATCCAGGTCTTAGTCTCCTGCACTGCCAGTCTCTACCCCATGACCCTACCCTGTTTGTTCTGGGCATCTCACCCTGTGACAGTCTTCCTCATGTGCCCTGGGGCATGTCTGGGGCTGGCTCCCTCACTAGGAGGAAGTGCCAAAAGGATGGGAGTTTCTTCTTCACTGTGGACTCCCCAGCTCTAGCTCAGGGCCTGGACACAGTAGGTGCTCTGTAAGTATTTGATGAAGGGAGAGACAGATGCATGCATGGC